TGGGTCATTTACCAGATTCACCCCCAAATTTCCCAATTTATTTGTTTATTAGACCAAACCCACGGAGTTCCCGGCAGTTTGCCCGCAGCCCCTCCGGAGGGGCAGCAGAGGTGAGGAAAGGCCCGGGGGTGATTCTGTTTGTTGACTCCAGCGGTTGCTTGGCAGGAGAGTGCCCGGGGACGGATCTCAGCTCAGACCTGCACAGAGTCACCTGCCTGGGGACAACGAGCGGTCCCAGCTCCAGAGGGAGCAGCAGGAGAGCCTGGGGAACAGCCCGGCTTCCACACCAAGGAAACTTTACTAGTCTGGGACGCTCGGGGGGTCCAGGGGAGGAAGGGACACAACCCCCAGTCACCGCCCAGAGGGTGACGCGGTGGTTTTTGGGTTTTAAGCGGGTTTCCTGAACAAGGCGGCTGGGTAAAGGGAAGGGACAGGATTGGGGATGGGGTGACATGGGACTGGGTGTGGGATTGGGGATGGGAGGTGGGATGGGATTGAGGGTGGCATTGGGGGTGGGATTAGGAGTGGGATTGGGGGTGGGAGCGGAGCCCCAAACCGGCGGTGGGCGGGGCCATGCACTGGTGGGCGGGGCATGACCGAGATGGACATCTGCGCCCCGCCCGGAGGGGCGTGGCCGAGCGCAGTCGGGTGAAGCCGAACACAATCGGGCCGCGCCGAACAGACGAACGCACGCAGCTTCAGCTCAGCCGTGTAGAGCCGAACCTAGCCGAACGCAGCCGATTGGACCCGAACAGAGTCGGGCAGAGCCGATTGGAGCCGAGGTGAGGAGCCGTGTGAGGGAAGACGCGCCCGGTGCCCCGGGACCCGCGATGGCCCCGCAGCCGCCCCGCTCCCTCCCCGCCCGCTGCCCCCCGGGACCCGCCATGGCCCCGCAGCCGCCCCGCTCCCTGCCCTCCTCCCTCCCTCCCTCCCGGGACCGGTGCGGGGGCTGAGCCGCGGCCGTGCGACCCCGCTGCTTCTCGTCCTGCCAGAGCCCCGGGACCGCCCGCGCTGCTGCATGGCCGGGAAGAAGCTGATCGTGGTGTTCGGGGCCACCGGTGAGTGCTCGGGGGAAGGCCCGGGCTGTGCCGGGGGCGGAGGCGTCGGTGGTGCCCGAGCGGCCGGGGGTGCGGAGGCCGAGCAGGGCGGGGAGCGAGCGCGGCTCGGTGCTTGTGGGGCCGGGGCCGCCCCGTCCCGCGGCCCCGGCGCATCGCGGGGCCCTGAGCGCTGCTCCCGCAGGGGCCCAGGGCGGCGGCGTGGCCCGGGCGCTGCTGGACGATGGGAGCTTCAAGGTGCGCGCCGTGACGCGGAGCCCCAGGAAGAAGGAGGCGCAGGAGCTCAGGCGCAGGGGAGCCGAGGTGGTGAAGGCAGATCAGGACGATGAGGCATCGCTGGAGCGTGCCTTGGCGGGGGCCTACGGAGCCTTTATTGTCACCAACTTCTGGGAACACTGCAGCAAGGAGAAGGAAATCGAGCAGGTACCTGTCCGGGCATTAACTGGGACCGTGTGTGGGTGGGTCATGACTAGGGTCAAAGTGGGGACTGCTCTTGGAGCATCCGTGGCAGCCCTGATGGTTTGAGGAGCCAGTCCAGAAGACTCCATGGCCTCACAAACACCAGGTCCCAGTTCTTGCAAAGCCAAGACTTGTTCTCTGTTCCCTCGCAGTTGCATGGCTCCAGGGTCTGGTGCCTTCAGGAGTTGATAAATTTGTTATGGAGAGCACTTCCCAGGAGCTGGAGTAGCAGAAGTGGGAACACTTGGCTCCTCAGAGCCTTCCCGGGGCAGAGCTGGGATTGTTGCTGCCTGCAGACTATTAGCTCTCTGTGCTTGCAGTTTTGAGGCCAAAATCCTGCAGTACCAGAGATCCCAAGGGTGGTGTTCATGCCAGGACAGATACTGCAGGGTGCAGAGTTGCCACACCTGGATGGCAAAAAACAAAAGATAAGACAGTTTAGGGCAGGTATGTTGGCCAGGCAGATTCTTTCTGCTGGTGCTTGCGTGTTTGGTGGAGCAGCGAGCTCCAAACCTGGAGGGTGTGTGGCCTTTCTGAAGTAGGACAGAGTAAGGAGAGGATTCAGCTCCACCTGGACAACTCACTGTGCTCCCAGCTGAGGGCTGGTGGGAGTCGGATCCTCCCCAGAGGGCAGGGAGGTGTGGGGATGATGGGGCTGTCCCACTCCCCCCTTCATGGCTGGTTTGTCCCCTGGCCCAGGGACAGCGTCTGGCTGAGCTGTCCAAGCGCCAGGCTCTGCGCCACGTCGTGTTCAGCGGCCTGGAGAACGTGCACCAGCTGACGGGGGGCCGCCTGGAGGTGCTGCACTTCGATGGCAAAGGCGTGGTGGAGGAGTACTTCCAGAAAATTGGGGTCCCCACCACCATCATCCGCCTGCCCTTCTACTTTGAGAACTTCCTCTCCATCTTCAAGCCGCAGAAGGCCCCGCAGGGAGATGCCTTTGTCCTGGGTAAGGAGGAGCTCTGGCTCTGTGGGTCACTGTCCTGTGGCTGTCCCACTGTGCCAGTGGGGCTGTGGGCTGGTAGCATGAAGAGGCCTCTACCAGCTTGACCACAGCAAGCTGCATTATGGTCTTCAGACCTTCAGGCCTGCAGGAAAGCACCAGGATCCTGTTTGTGGTGCTGGGGGCTGTTCTGCAGATCCCAGAGCAGCTCTGGACACCCCAAGTCCCTGCGTGTGGGATGGTGGAGGTTGTGGGGCTGCAGGTGACTCACGATGCTGCTCTGCTGTCAAGGTCTCTTAGCTCAGCTCTGCTCTCCTGCCTTGCCATGCTGATGGGTGCCCTCATCCCTCCCTCACCTCATGTCCAGAGACTGAAAACTCCACTGCACCTCCTCAGAGCTGGGCTGCACTGCAGCTGGGATCAATCTCTCCATACAGAGCTGCCCATGGGGGACACTCCCATGGATGGGATGGCTGTGGAGGACCTTGGGCCCGTTGTGCTTTGCCTGCTGAAGTCCCCAGGGGAATACATTGGCCAGGTGATAGGACTCAGCACGGGCAAGCTCACCGAGGCAGAGTACGCTGCCGTCCTCTCCCAGCAGACGGGCAAGACTGTGACAGCCAGCAAGGTAGGAAGTGTCCCTTAGTGTAGGGGATGTTCCTGAGGGACTGGCAGCTCATTTTGGTACAGCCCAGCACCAACACTGCCCTGTTGGTATTGTCACTGAGCTCATGCCTGTGGGGCACACAGATGTGTCTGGGCAGGTCTGTGCCTGGCTCTGAGGGATAACAGAGCCAGGGATGGGCACCTACACAACAGGTTTCTGCTGGGTGCCCTTCCCTTGAGCAGGGCTCCTCCAGGGTTTTGCTGTGTCACCATTACAACAGACCTGGCCTCTGTGCTGTGTCACTGTTAACAACACTCTGACCACTCCCTGCCCCTTCGTGACTTATTTTTAATCTTTGTTTGCAGTTCAGTTGTGCCTCAGGCAGCCAATACAATGGATGAGGGGTATGGTGGCTCTCTGAGAAGAAAGTGCATTTCATTAGAAACAAAGCTGCTCTGATGCTCTCTGCAGGTTCTGCTCTCCCAGAAGTGCAATGAACCAAACCCTCTGATTCAGGCAGGGAACGATGTTTTGGGGTGCCAAGTGCCAACCTGAGGTGCCTCCTGGATCACCCAGTTTCTAGAAGCCCTCAGCCATAGCTCTGGTGTGAGGCAGGGCTCCCTCACAGCTGCTCCAGCCCCTGGCCAGCTGTGTGCCAGAGCTGGGGGTGGCCCTAGGCTGGCTGGGCTGTTCCTGCCAGGAGGGGCTGCATCCTTTGCCCAACCCCAGCAGAAGTGCCTTGCAGAGCCCTCTGCACCAGTGGCAATGCTGACAGGCTGCTGTGGCAGAGCCCTCATCACATCCCCTCAGAGGCTGAGGGGAAGCCCCAGCAGCCTCTGAAACAGTTTTTCCCCCAATTCTGTTGGCAGATCTCCCCTGAGGAGTACGAGAAGCGGGACTTTGCTGGGGCCAAGGAGCTGGCTGCCATGTTCCGTTTCTACGCGCTAAAACCAGACCGCAACGTGGCCCTGACCATGAAGCTGAACCCCCAGGCCCGCACCTTCCAGCAGTGGGTGGGGGACAACAAGAATGCCTTCTGAGCCTCCTCTTCCTCCCTGGTTTCTGCAGCAGGTAGGGGGACCTGGCTGAGGAGGTGAGGTGCCCTGAGCCATGCTGCCTTCCCAGTAGTGCCCCAGGGAGAGGCTGATCCTGCCCCAGCTGGGGAGAGCTTGGCCCACTTGCTGGTCCATGTGTGTGCTCCTGCAGCGTGGTTGGGACTATTTAGGCAGCTAGAACAAGAGGAAGGGCTGGACAGCACAGGCAGAGGGGTGGCAGAAGTGCTGCCTTTGCACTCTGTCCTCAGGGAGGTGTTGCTTTAGTCATTGTGGGTGTTTTAGGGTGCTGGGGGCTTGTTTTCCCAGGATCACCTCCTTTCCCAGGCAGCTCTGAGCATATGGCACCACGTGGTAGGCTGAAGGTGTGTACCCCAAAGGCAGTGCCTTTGTGGCAGGTATCCATGGCCAGGGCTGCTGCAGGCTCCTAAGCAAACAGAAGACAGGAATTTCTCCAGGGATCTGGTTTGGGCACTGCAGGTGAGCCACTGGAGACATGGATACTTAGGGTCAGCCCAGCAAGCAGGGACTGCAGTGACTTCCTGTGAGTGTAACACAAAAGCTGAGGCAGATTCCTCATCACAGAGCTCTGGCCCTGGTCCTTGGGCTCCTGGAGCTAATTTCAGTCACTGTCCCAAGGAGCTGAGATAAAACTCAGCTTTTCTAGACTGTCCAAGGTTCAGTGGAAAAGCCCCTTCCCCTCAGGTACCTAAAGTACTGCTCAGACAGGGCAGCTTTGTGTTTAAAGTCAATCCCAGCCCCCAGCAATGCTGGAGCCATCCAACCCTGTCCCCTCCTTGGCCCAGATCTTCATCCTTGTTATGAGGGGAGGGAAAGGGGGTGACAGAGCAGGTGGAAGAGCAGACAAGGCAGCAAGGCACAGCACGTGTTAAATATCTTTATGAAGTCCATCTTATTTACATGGGTACAGAATCACTTTACAGAAGTTTAATCAGGAGGCAACGCGTGCTTTATTTCAGCAAATTAAGAAGGGCAAGACTACAGCATGTCCCTGTTTAACTGGGGTTGAACTGATTAGTATGTGGGCTGATGGTACCTGCACAGTATCACAAACACAGCAGGCTACAGTAACCATGGAATACTCACTGCAAGAGCTCAGCTCCATCTGGAAGGAGTGATCCACCTCACTTGCACTCTCACACAAGTTAAACAACGATGCTTTGACCAATCCTTGACGCTACGGGTGTTGCACTAAAGTAATAAAATATTTTTGTCCCCAGCTGGCAAAGGGCTCAGTGATCGACTTGTACCAGTCCAGAAGCGACAGCAGTTGTGTGGTAACTTTAGTTATTTGGGGGATAAACTTGAGGCAAAGTGCAGATTCCATCACTGCTCTGTGCAGGCAATCAGCAGGATAGAGAAAGCCCAGGGCTGTGAGGGAGCCAGGCCAGCTGGGCTCAGACAACACCCAGCCACAGGGAGGTTTCACTTGGAGCTGTGCAGGGCAGCAGGGCTGTCGTGAAGACAAGGTTAGACCTTCCTGACCCACCAAGTCTCCTGGAGAGTTCACCAAGCACATGTGGCATTCCAAAGGGCACCTGAGTGAGCAGCTGGTGTGCTTGGTCTCCACACAGCAGATTGCTGCTCTGTGCTGGGCTATTTGTTTCACATTTCCTCTGGTTTGGATCCTAAACAATACTTCAACTTTAGCTTTTACCAAATGAGCTTCCAGCAGCAGTGGGGTTGTGGAGCAGCCTCCAGAGAGCCACACTTCTGCTAAGCTGGTGTTTTCCTTCACTGCCAGTTCTTAGGACAGTGGATGGGGTTTGTGTTGGTGCCTTGGTGGTCTTTGGCCTCTCCAGCTGGGATTCTTGCTGTGCTGCTGACTGACATCCTGTGTTCTCCAGAGCCTGGCTGCCAGAAAGATTCACCCCCAACTGCACGGATGACCTGCTGCTGCTGGCTCCTAGTTCCCAGTAGAACGTTTTCCTGCAGTTGAAGTGAGAGGAAGGTTACAATTTCCTGGCTGTATCAGCACACAGCCCACTCCGGGAGCACCTCCCCTCCTGATCTGCTGTCACACTCTCAGCCCTACAGCACAGTCAGCTTTGAAGCCTACAAAGATGCAAAGCTGAGCCCCTGGAATCCCAGACTGTGTCTGCTGGAGATTCCAAGTCTCGGTGCTCCCTCATAACAGGTCAGCACCAAGTGAAGCTCCTGAGTTACACTGCAGTGATGCATGGTGGCGTTTGCTGTGCTCTGTGACAAAGGCTGCCTCCTCCCTGGTGCTGTAAGCCCACAGCAGGGGTGAATCCAGCCCGAGTGTGCCAGCACCAGTGGCTCTGCAGCCCAGGATTTGTGTGGCAGAACCCGGTCCCAGTGGGACCAGCTCATGGGAACACCCTCAGTGCTTGGAACTGGGCACAGCTCCAGCACCAGAGCTGCAGGGGAGGCCAGCCACCACCCCCAAGGGTGCACCCAGCATCTGTGCTGCTCTTTGCTGCAGCAACAATGCACTTTAATCCCTGGCTTGTTGCTCCAGGTCCCAGGGGACAGCTAGGGCTGTGCACACTCCCGGCTGGAAGGCCTGAGGCTAAGTGAGAAGCAACGCTGTGCTATTGTGCTTCCACCTCCCAAGAAGTGCTCAGCGTGGGGGAAAGACAACAGTGAAACACAAGAGACCTCCTACCTCGGATGGGGTGTCAGGAGGTAAACATTTTCTTAAGTTTGGAAAGGAATCCCTCCTTGTTCTCCTGAGCCTCAGGCCTATCCCCGCCTGCGTGAGCGCTAGCCGTGGCCCTGCCACCTGGACACAAACAGCAAAGGGCTGCAGTCAGACATCTCCCACCAGGACCAGAGGGGTGTTTTGGACAGGGAATGGCCCAGACAAAGCAGCTGCTTGTGCTGCTCCCTCACATTCAGCCAGCTGCAGGACTGGACCCCTTGCAGTGGAAGCACTGGAAAGCCTGGATCCCAGAAGTGGAAAAGCCAACCATGAGCTCAGGTGCTGAGCTGTTCCCTTCCCCTCTCCCCAGCCCTTCAACCGCCAAGGGAATTCTCTTGCAGCACAATTGAGTCAGGGACCCCAAAGGCTTTGGAAACAAGTACTTGGAAGTGAGTCTGCCACTAAAAACAAGTGGTGAACTCGATCACAGCCAGCCAGGACTTTACAGGGTTAAAAGATCTATACTGGTGGTCCCTGAAACAAGTTTTTCCTGTTTCAAGGTTGTGTCCTTGCAAAGCAGTGCAAAACCACACCAGGAGCCTGATTTGTGTCACTGCAAGCAACACTCAGACAGTGTCAAGCAGAAAATTAACTCATGTAGAATGAAAAAGGTTACAAGTATTTCAGACTGACTGTCCAGATAAGGAGTGTTAAAATTGTCCTATATGAACAGGTCCTGAGAACTTGTTTGTCCCTCAGAAGTGGCTATAATGAGAACAAAGGAGACCTGTTTGCTAATCTGTTTTTTTCTACACTAAAACCATCAACAACAAGATCCCAAACGCCCCCTCAAGCTTTCTTTGTGCCCAGAGAACACGGAGTCTGGTGTTCCCCAGCCTCCCAGGGCTGAGTGCTGGGCTCAGACTGATGCAATGGGATGAAATCCCGAGGCAGGACACGCCTCCCTCAGCACAGCCTGTCTCTACACTGCAACCTACTGGCGTTGTTCTAACTCACCTTGCTGCTTATCATGGTAAAAACTGGCAGGTTTGCTTTGTAAAAAATTAGTTTGAAGGGGTTATTTTTCCTCTTTGGCACACAAATGCCTTTAAAAAGCTGGAATTGAAATTCAGTGCTCAGAGTTCTCTGCCCTTCCCCCAAGGCTGACTGTAATATAGGAAAGACATGTTTTTGGTATATATAATTACTATAAAACAGAACATTGGGAAGTATTTGGCAGATCCTGCACTTAAGCCTGTATTCCTCACACTTTGATCCTAGGATCTGCTCTACTACATGCCAATCAGCAGCTCCAAAAGGCTCTCACCTTTGCCTAGTCATAAATGCCCTGTCCAGTTTCAAATCAAAACCAAAATCCAACAGGCTTTAAGAAGTTCATTGTTTCAACTAAGCAAAGAAGAAACTGCTTTCCAGTAGTGAGAGACAAAGCTCCTTCCTAACTGTGTTACCATGTGTTGTGCCTTTAGCTGCTGCCTCTTCCAAGCACCTCATCCCTGAAACTTTGAACACAATTACTGAATCTCAATTTTCCATCTGGAGCTGGAGAGCAGCTCCACAAAGCTCCCAGCTGCCTTCACTCCTCCATCGTGCTGGACACTGTCCACTGACCAGAGCTGACACTGCCACCAATGGACACTCCCAGCCCAGGTTTCCCCACACACACAGAGCTCAGCCCCAAGAGAAACCCCTGTCAGCATTCCAGGAGAAGCAGCCCTGCTGGATTGGGATCACACAGGAGATTGGCCTGAAGCACATTTGCTTTCCTGCCTCAAGGCAAATGCTGGCCCAGGGGAAGCAGGCAGCAGGAGGCATTCATCAGCACAGTTTGTCTAGAGCCTGGAGTACTCAGTGCCTGCTCTCTGTTCACACATGGCTTTGCCCAGTAAGTACTGGAGTACAGCTTCCTGGGAAGGGGCTGTGTGCCACAGCCTGTTCACATCACAGCAGAACTGCTGTTAAAGCAGGCTGTGCTGCCACAGGCCTGCTGTGACCCTGGCTCCCCAGTGCCCAGGGAACACTGTGCCCTGCCACAGCAGCTGCCCAGGCAGGGCCAGGGCTGCCCCTCACCTGACGCCGTGCTGGTGACCCCGTTCACGGTGCCGTCCACGTCGGCCTCGTCCTCGGCGTAGCTCATCATTAAGGCTCGCTGGCGATCCGTCAGCCTCCTGTGGCACCAGGACAGGGGTCAGGGATGGCCTGGGGCCCACAGCCTCCCCAGCCTCCCCCAGCAGCACCCATGGGGGGCAGGGATTGGAGTCCATTGTGTACAAATACACCAGGAATCCGTGTGCTCTTTAAATGAGCCATCTGTAAGGAATGATCTCCAGTGGAAGAGGAGACATAGGACCCACTGCATTTCACCTCGTGGAATTTTCACAACTTTTAAACAACATGTTTTGTAAAAAATTCTTAAGATTTCACAGGAACTGGTTTTAGCTCTACTTACTGAGGAACTTTTATCTTTATGTGGATGTAGTGGTCTCCATAGCCATAGCTGTTGACCTTGGGAATGCCTTTCCCACTCATTCGAATTTTCTGGTCTGGCTGAATACCAGGGGGTATCTATAAACACAAAGGTGTCACATTTATTACTCTAATTAAACATTTATATAATAATTAGACATCTATAAAAATTATCTGCTTCTCCAACAAGCTCTAAATAGGATGGGAGAGCTCTCATATGCTCATGCATTGAGATGCATCCCAAAGCTAAGCCAGTAAAGATGGAAAAGCTTTTGAAGGAATAAGTAAAGAACCTGACACAGCCTGTAGCCCTGCAGTTTAGGGTTTGTCCAGCAATCCCTTTCTTTCCCTGTCCCTACACAGCAACAGGAAAGAAGCTGTGACCAGGCACATCACAAACTAGCCAAGGCTCATTCTGAAATGGAATACTGGCAGACTTGGGAGATTTTGCCCACCTCTGCAGCAAAGGAGAAGCCTTTGCTGTGGCCCACTGATTCATGGCCAGAATACTGGTACTCACCGTGATGTTGATTGTCTCATACAAGCCTTGACAGCGGGCTGTGCCTCCCAGCACGGCCTGAGCTATTGAGATCAGGAGATCCGAGTGGATATCGGCTCCGTTTCGTCGGAACACAGAGCTCTTCTGAACCTGGAGGGCAGCAAAGTTCCAGAGAGCAGTGAGCACACCGTGTTCTCCTGCTAAACTGCTCCCAAGGGTCTCAGGAAAAAATATACCATCCCCAAACTGCATGGCTAAGAACTGTGAGTTAGTATTTGGTGTTCTAGTAAAACACAGATCTTGACATAACTGAATTAGCCAAAGGATTGGAAGGATCCCTGCTTCCTGCCTCAGGAACTCCCTCCCTAATCCTGCTGTCAGTTTATCCCTGTCACTACAGTTCTGCAGAGACAGACACTGCCTTGTCCAGCACCCTGAACAAGGGAAAAACAAAAGTGAAGGCAATGAAGCACCTTTCCAGTGGCCTCACAAGCTGGAACAGAATTAAACCCTCCTGCACCATAAAAGAAGTGCTGAAAAAAATCTCTTCAAGAGGGATGTGTGTGGCAGGAGAAGACACCCAGCTACAGCACAGATGCAAAGCAGCCCTGAAGGTGGATCTGCAGAAGGACAGTTCACCAGGCAGCCTCCTGCAGCACCTCCCACAGCTCTACCACCCCTGCCAGCAGGCAGCTCCTTCACATTTCCAAGTCAAAACCTCAAGGCATGAAGAACCTACTCTGCATTATGATTCACACTACCCTAAGGGCCTGGTCCTGGAACAAGCAGCGATTCTTCATCAACAGATTCAAAGTTACTCTCCTTGCTACAATGCAGATCTCCTGCTGTCTCAGAAAGTTCACAGGGATCATGTTACCTCAGCTGTTCCAAAGGATCACTGGCTCTTCCTCCTCTGCCCATTCTGCAGTCCTTTCCCAGGCAGTTGAGAAGGGAACAACCAACTTACATCATAAACCAGCTTGAGATACATACCCTGAACGTAATGAAAATTTCTTTCTTCCCCACAGGCATCCGAACTGTCTGCCCGTCCTCAACACCTGCAATCAGAACAGGAGGGAATGTGACCTTGGCTTATAACCCATGTGTGACATGGATACCTACAACTCTTGCCAATCACGAAAGCTGGCCACCACAGCCCAAAGGAGGAGGGGTCAGCACATGTTTATACCTCTGAGGTGATCCCTACACCCTCAACACACTTGTGACTTCAATATTTACAGAATTCTCTATGCATTCTACAAATGCATTGGATTAAGGAACACTGCAGCCTCCACAAGCTGCAGGAAAATTACAGGCTGCTCACCCAGGGTGGTCTCAAAGAAGCAAGTCTTATTCCCACCACTGAATTCTCCTCTCTGGTGAGGAAGACAATCAGCACAGCCCTCTGAGCCAAACCAAGGCTTTCAGGATTCCCACCCTCTCCCCAAGCTTCATCAAGGACAAATGAAAAGCTCATGGCAACAAAACCTTTGGAGAGTCACCCTTCAAAACCTGCTTAGGAGGACTCAGGCAAGAACCAAAGCTCAGGAAGGGCAGAGCAAACACTTATATCCACGGCCAGAAGGTCCATCTCATCACTCGCCCATTTAATTGCCGAGCTCTCAAGGTGCTTTGCTTTAAAGACCAATTCTCTGCAGCAAAAAGGTCTTACACTGTTCCCCCATTTGTACCAACAGAGGCAGTAAATAAGAGAGCAGCAGACAGGTATAACACTGACCAGCTGGCACAGGAACCATCACTGTCTTCTTCTGCTTGGTCTGGCCTGTGCCCCGGCACATGACGCAGGGCGTGGTGATGATGGAGCCGCGGCCGGCGCAGCGCCGGCACGTGGAGCGCATCACGAACGGGCCCGTGTTGATCGTCTCCTGGGGAGCAACAAACACACGGTGGGCAAACAGTGGGTACTGAGATGGGGCTTCTCACACAGCACCTGTGAGCTCTGATCACACACACCCTGTCAGGACAGAGATACCCTTCAGCAACGGCTGCAGCAGAGAGCTGGCTCTGAAATCCACCCACCGTCACTTGCCGATTTCCGCTGAACACCACCACAAGTGTCAGGTGGTGAGGGCAAGGGAAACACACCACCCTCAAAGTCTAGGCTTTAATGTACAAGAAGGAACAAAGCTCCTTACAGTGCTACAAACGTCTGTGTTCTGATGAAGCCAAGGACAATCCATTTACATGGATTACTGCCAGTGTCCAAGAAAACCTTACGGTGACTAAGCCCTGGACTGAACCACTGAAGCACACAAGGAATCAGATGCATGGTAACCCAAAGCCTGTAGCTCCATCATTACCTGCATCTTCTTATTTTATGATTAGCCATGGGTTTTCACCACCTTCTCCACCTTCCAAGTCAAAAGATACCCATTTACTGCCCAGGAATTTCAAAGCTGTTACATTATATACATATGGTTTGTGGGATGTGCAGCAGCAGAGGATCCAGCCTGAAGGCTCATGCTTCCAGCTGGGCACAGCACTTTAACACAAAGAAAATCTTCCTAGTGCCTATTAGCATCAAGCTGACATTAACTCAGCTTTGCCCAAGATAAGCTGATGAGTGTGGTGAGAATTTTTCACCATGGAATGAGTGACTCTCCCCAAGAAGGGGAAGCAGAACTGGTGTCCTGCTCAGCACTTACCATGCCCGTGCCATTGCAGTAGTGACAGCGCTGAGCTTTGGTGCCAGGTTCGTGTCCCTTGCCATCGCAGCGCACGCAGGAGTCCTGCATGTTCACCACAATCTCCTTGTTAACACCTTTTGCAGCTTGGGTGAATGTCAGTTCCATGATATACTGCACAGGAAACATGGATATAGAGCCATGACTGAGGTGTGACAGGAGACTGGGAAGAGTTTAGGCTAAATACCAAACAATGCTTAACATAGAAATTCTCAGTAAAGATAACTGATCAAAAGAGGAAATTCTCATTATATGAAAAAGGTCATCTTTAGTAAAACCAGGAGTACTAAACATTTCTGAAGACAACACATGAACCGTCAACACTTAAAGGAGCATTTAGCTGCAACACAAAGAACAAGACAGATTTTATTATGGGCCTCACTGCAACATGAAGCTAATTAAGTTGCAAAATTATGCCAATTAAGCAGCCAAACACATTGCTGGAAGGCCTGGTTTATAGTTACAAGGTATTTTGTGGGTTTTAGCATTACAGATCAAAGCAGGCATAGGTAAATCAAGCTGCAGCAGAAACAATGCCTCTGGAGTGATGGAACTGCTCAGCAGTACTGGGTACAGACAGCAAACACCAGAGAAGTTTTTGCTGTGTGTTCAAGCTCAGAAAAATATCCTGTCTGGAGGTGTGGGGTGTGTTCCTGCACAGCTTAACAAAACTATGAGACTCTGCCCATGCCATGGGACACTCACACACTGACATCCCCAGAAATAACTCCTTGCTGAAGCTCCCGCAGCACTCGGTGACAGAAGCTGGGGACAGACACTGCTTTGAGTTCCCCAGTCCTAAATAAAGGCACCTCCTACCTCCTGTGGCTGCTCAAAGACAGTCTGAAAATCGCCGAACGGGGATCCTGAGAACTCCCCAAAGATCTTCCTGAAGAGCTCCTCGGGGTCGATGGAGGGGCCGCCGCTCCAGTACTGCCGCCCCGCGCCGGCCCCGGCCGCGCCCGCCTCGAAGCTCGCCGTGCCGTAGGCATCGTACTGCTTCCTCTTCACCTCGTCACTCAGCACCTGCGGCAACAACGGGCCGTGGCAGGCTCCAGGAGAACCCCTGCCTCGGGGCTCACACCTTCCACCGAGGTCCCGCCCAGCTCTCAGCACCAGGGGGTCAGGGACAAGGTGCTGCTTCCCTGGTGATTCTCGGCTCATCGCCAGAAAAACAAGATTTTACTGATTTATAAAAAGCAGAATTAACTTATACTAAACAGCTGATCATTCTTGTATCAGCTGAAGAGTGCTGGAATCAAAAAATAGGGCTGGGGGAGCACAGTGAAAGTCCCTCTGTCTCAAGAACTGGCTGACACATTTTTTTGTTTAATTATTTAAACTGACAATAATTCCATGGAAGTGACATCCATGCCAGTCATTGCTAAGGAAGGGGAAAACTGAAACAGCCCAAAGCAGCTAAATCAGCTATTGGACCAAGGAATTTCTTGGGATAGATGTGCCCCTGACTGAAGTGCATCAAAAAACAGCCATGGCTTTACAGGAAATCTTTGCCCTCATCTACTCTCTAGTCTTTCCTCCTTCTCATCACAACAAAATCCTGCTATTACCTCATAGGCTTCGGCCAGCTGAGAAAACTTCTCCTTCGCTTTGGGGTCGTCCTTGTTTGTGTCAGGATGGTATTTCTTTGCCAACTAAAAAACACAAACCAACTATTAGGGACAGGCAGGAGTTATTTACTTAAGCATATCTCACATGCCAGGAAAAACCCATCAGCAGAGCCTGACATTCACTAGATGCATTCCCAGGAACTAAACTTTTTCATTTATCAACCCAAAACAAGGAACTACAGGAGCTGCTGCTAATCTTCTCAGCAATCCCAGATCCTTCTGGAAGGAGACAAGCGATGACAGCACAGGCAGACCATGCTTTGGAAGCGATCCCCAAGGCCATGTGCTGAGCTTTCCCACTGCCTCCTGCCCTTGTCTCCAAAGACGGGGACGGATTTGTTGTGTGCCCCAGCGAGGGGCAGCCCCGGCGGGTCCCGCCGCACCTGGTAATAGGCCTTCTTGATCTCCTTCTGCGTGGCGGTGCGGGGCACCCCCAGCACCTGGTAATAGTCCTCCTTGGCGCGGGCCGCGCTGCTGTGGAAGGCGGCGGAGGCGGCGGCGGCAGCGCCTTTCGTCCCTGCGGGAGAGGAGGGAGAGGGGCCGCCGTGAGGGCCGGGCCGGCTGGACGAAGGGGCACGGCCGGGGGAGAAGCCCCGCGCGACCCAGCGCGACGCGCTCCCGGCCGCCATCTTGGCCCGCGCGCGGCGCTGCGCCTGCGCACCCTTCTGCGGGGACGGGCCGCGCATGCGCACGGCGCCGTGACCGTGGCCGCGCCGTGCTTGCGCATGCGCGGTGCTCGGCAGGGCCGCGGGGCCGGAGGCTGAGGGGAGCGTGTGGCGGTCGCGGGGCCCGGGGACAGCGGGCACGGAGCGCGCGGGGACACGGCTGGGACAGCCGGGCGCTGCCCCGTGAGAGCTCCGTGCGCCGGGCTTCCAGCCCTGCCCTCTGCCCGCCTGCGCGGTCTGCGCCTTTCCAGGGCTGCTGCTGTTCTCCCGTAGCAGGAGACATAACATATCTCACAGGAGTGGAATAAAGGCTCCGAAGCCGCAGCGGGTGCAGCGCCACACGCCCACACCCACACGGCGCAGCAGCCTGGCACGGCACCCACAGCCCGGCAGCAGCCTTCCTCTGCAGAGGGGGCGGATGAGTCGTGCCAAGCGTGTCTCTCTCCCGCCCTCATGCCCGGGGCTGGCGCCTCCGAGCGCTCCCCGGCGCGGGCTCGGGGCTGCTCGGGGGAGGCTCGAGCGGCGGCAGGGCCGTGCCGGCTCCTGCTGCGCGCACGCCGCTGTCCCCGCCCGGCTGCACGCAGGCAGGAGGCCTGGCCTCCAGCGCCGTGGGTGACACCCGGGCGCAGAGGGCTCAGTGGGCTCGCATCCAGCGCTCCCTCCTCCTCCTCTCTCCCCGCAGCCGTGAGTACACGAAGGTCTGTGCTCACCGCCGGCTGCGGGCCGTGGGGGAGGCGGGCACGCTGAGCCCAGGGCGCTGCAAACCGCCCGCTGGCCCCGTCCTCCTGCCCCAGAGCCCGACGGCACCGCTGCCCCTGTGTGGGAGGAGAGCTGGGGGCCAGCCGGGGGTCACTGCACGGCCTCGGGGGAAGGGGCCGGGATCCCCGGGACCGCCGGACAGTCACCCCAGGGGTGGCTCCGCCGCCGGGGTTGGAGGCTCTGGCGGGGGTCCGAGGAGCCGGGCTGGGGGTCTGTGCCCCGCTCACGGTGACAGCGGGGACAAGGGGCACACGGGGCACACGTGAGGGGCCCGGCGGGGCCGGCCCAGGGGCGGGGCTCGGGGCGGGACCGCGGAGCGGCGGGGCCGGGCCGGGCCGGGCCGGGCAGGGCTGGGCACGGCTCGGAGCGGTACAGCCGGAGCACCATGAACCGCTTCAAGGCGTCCAAGTTCCGGCACACCGAGGCCCGGCTGCCCCGCAGGGAGGTGAGCGCTGCGGGACCCGCCAGCACCGGGGGATCGCGGGGGCGGCGGGGCCGGGGCTGCCGCGGGCAGGGACGGGCACGGGCACAGGGCAGGACCGGCCCCACCCCGCCGCACCGGCAGGGCGCGGCTCCGGGCCCCGCAGCCGCGGCATCGCCGGTGTGGCGGGGCCGTGCCCGGGTCTCCCGGCTTGGTGCGGGTGCGTCGCCCGGGCAGCCCCTCCTTGGCACCCGCTGCCGCCCATCCCGGGGTCCGCGGGGGATCCCGGCCCCGGGGCGCTCCGCAGGTGGGGCTGCCGGGGAAGCCCAGCCTCTCCTGGGCCGCTGCAGCCTCCCGGCCGGCAGCGACTGGCATGGGGTACCCGTCCCGTGGTGGCTGCTCCCCTCCTGCCGCTGAGCACGGCTGGCACATGCGGTGCATCCCCGGTTCTTGCTGCCCGCTGCCGTTCGGCATCTCGCCCTCCTGGCCTGTGCCAGCCAGGGAAGCACGCACCAACCGAGTGTGAAGTGCTGGGCCTCGCTCCTGCCACCCTGCTCTGCCACCCCGCTTCCGCAGGCACGGAGGAAGGGCTGGGCCCCACGGGGTGCTGCTGAGCCCCATCACCCCGGCCATGAGCTGTGCAGCTCGGTACCACTGGGGCCAGGCAGCTCTGGGCAGCACAGAGCCATGTGGTGCCTGGCTCTGGCCTCTACTCCATGCATAACCAGCCCCAGTCATACCAAGCATCACGGCCCATCCTGGCACGGTGCTGGCAGTGGGTAGCCCTGCCCTGCTGTCCCCCAAACCTCAGAGCTGGGCCAGGGCAGTCTCCCAGGTCCCTGTCCCTACAGACTGGGCAGGGGCAGAGATGCAGGGGCAGGGCTAGCTGGGCCAGGGCAGTCTCCCAGGTCCCTGTCCCTACAGACTGGGCAGGGCAGGGGCGGAGATGCAGGGGCAGGACAGGGGTGAGTCACATCGGGGGATGTTACCAGGACACACAGCCCTTTTGGGGGTTCCCTGAGCTGGGTACCCTTCACCTAGCACCTCCTCAGCACCGTGGCCATGAGTGAGGCTGCTGCTGCTCCCAGCCCTTGGCTGGGCACACACTCCTTCTCTGCAACTTCCAGCCAAGCTGTCCTTGCACCCACCTGTGGCCTGCACTTACAAGCCTCTGCAAATCCAGCAAGCACCCAAAACATCCTCTGAGCTTCAGCTGTGGGAGGGGACATGGTGCCCCCGTGCCCATGGCGTGCCAGCCTCGGTGTCTCAGGTCACTGAAATCTCAGTTGGATGAATGTTTGGCTGTGAACACCAGGGTTCAGATGAGTCACTGGCAGCGGGGAGTGTGTGTGCCTGTGGGGTGTGGGTGCTGGGACACCTGGCTGTTCAGACATGGCATCCTGCAGGCAGGGAGGGAGTGTGTGTGCCTGTGGGGTGTGGGTGCTGGGACACCTGGCTGTTCAGGACATGGCATCCCATCTTTGCTGTCCTGGTGTTGGTTCCATGGGGGAGCTCCGAGGGGCAGCGTGCTCTCCCTGTGTGCAGGATCTGCTGTGCGAGGCCTTTCCAAAAAGCTTTTCCCATTCAGGCATGAAACGTATCCTTGGAAGTGAGGCCACGCACTCCCCGTAGGGCAGCAGGTGGAGAAGGAAGCCTTGTCACCAAGCCCATCTCAGGTGTCACAGCGGGAAGCTTTGTTGTGTTCCCAGCCGAGCACCTGTTTATGGAGCACGAGCAGACACCCGACCTGGCTGGATCAGGAAGCGCAGTGTAAACACCAGGGATCACAGCTGTCTTCTCTTCAGGCAGCATCTGCAGGGCTCTGCTGGCAGATGGCCCTTGAGAGCTCACAGTTTGTTCTAGGGATGTAGCCAGCATGCATTCATGTGCTTTCCTGGCCGTGCTGCCACGCCGCAGGAAGGATCACTGCCTTGAGGGCTGCTGCCTGTCTGTGGGGAAGCTGTGGGGTCAGGATGGAGCAGCTCTGTGAAACCTCACTGCAGGGGTCCTGCTGGCACCCCTGGCTGCTGGGGGCAGATGTGGCTGGTGTCTCCCTCTCTGAGGGCCCAGCGCAGCGTGGTGGGATGCAGATAGTGGGGCCCTTATTCCAGGGTCCTGCTCATGCTCCCAGCCTGTTCCCCATCCCCAATGCAGCCCCCTGCCCACATGCTGGGTGTGGGGACAGAAACCTGCCTTTGGCAAGAGATGGGTTAACAGGTCTGCACTGAGCTGTGAGGGGAGGAAGTGCTGCAGGAACCAGTGCTCCCTGTCAGGCCTCAAACGGAAGTTGTGCAAGGAGAGGAAACCTGGGGCTTGGGGTTTCCCTTCCCTACCCAGTTTGTGGGGTATCCACTGCTCCTGACACCTGCTGCAGCTCCGGGGGCTGCTGTGGGCACACAGGCCTGGTGCCAGCCATAAAACACCTGCCATTGCCACTGACAAGGGTTGGACTTGGCCCTGGGAGTGCCACTTGAGGTGGGGTGCCTGTGTTGCTTGGAGTGGGTCTGGCTGATGGAGGATGTCCAGGGTCCCACGAGTGCAGTGCTCAGCCCTGGGAAACACTGCAGAGTGGGAGTTTGGTTTTGGAGCTGTAAGGCAGCTCCTTGGCTGTGTGTCCATGTGGGAAGTGTGCTGCTGGAGGTGTTTTTTGGCCTTGGTCAGCCACAACTTGACCCTGTGGTGCTTCACAGCCCAAGAGCTTTTGTCCCATCCAGATTCTCTGGCACCAGTTTATTGCAAAGACCTCTGGGCACTTCCCAGAGTGGGACAGCCCAGACATGGGAGCTGGGATGCTCCTGTGTCCCAGCCTTCATCCCTAGTGAGGGGCTGTGCTTGTGACAGGAGCGGGAGCAGCCACATTGCCCCAGGACACCCCAGAGGACAGGATAATCCCATTGGCATCGCCATTCTCCAGCTCTCCATCACCATGGCAGCTCCTCTGGGGCTGAGGGCCTCTGCCATGCTGTGCCAGTGGTCCTGCAGCCGTGCCCCAGGCCCTGCCATAACAAGGCAGCCCCTGATATGGTTTTTCCTGTGCATGCCAGGCCTGGATCAGCGGGATCCGAGCAGGCTCTGTCCCCTCCTGTGGGAGCCAGGTGAAGGCCAGCTGCCGCTGGATCGCCTTCAACACCGAGGCCGCCGGTGAGGCACGAGGGTCCCAGCACTGCCTGGGGAGTGGGGTGGGTTTGTCCCGGGGTCCCTGTGGGGCTGGGTGGTGGGTCAGTGTCCAGAGGGCACCAGGGTGAGTGGAGGAGGCTTTCTCTGAGATCCCCCAAGGTGCTGACAGTCCCACACCTCTTGGCTTGCATCGCAAAGCTGGGTGCCCCTCGTGTGTCCCAGGCTGGGGGTTTCCTGATCTGTTCCTGTGCCCTCTCCTGCAGGTGTGCTGGGCATTGTGCCCCTGGAGTGCGAGGATGGGGGCAAGAGGACCATATCTCAGCTCTGCTGCCACTCAGGTGGGTGCCAGGTGCCATCTCCCACGCCCACAGGACGTGTTTGACCCCACGTGGGCTGTGGAGGGGGCTCAGGTGCTGAGTTCAAGCCTGGCAGGCTGTGGTGGGCTGTCTGCCAGGCAAGGGACATAGGGACTGCCAGGGACCATCACCTGAGGGCAGGGTGACAGCAGGAGGGGCTCTGCCAGGCTGGAATCAATCCGTGTTCCTTCATCTCAGGCTGCAGTGAGGCCTGAACATGCAGCTCTTCCTCTCACCCTTCTAGCACAGCCTTCCCACATTACTCATAGCACGCCCTGAAATTCCCAGTACACCCAGTGCCAGGTTGGAGTTGGCATCACTGAGGCATCACTGCCTCCAGTGGCAGGAGGAACAGGCTGGACCAGCAGCTCTGATGTGGGCAGAGTGAGTGTGGCAGGGAAGAGGCAGTGGCAGTATCGCTGTGGCAGAGAAGCAGGGCTCTGCCCTGCCCAGGCACAGGGAGGGGTGGTGCCCACCTCAGGGTGCCCCTCTCCCCGTGCTGGAGCAGCAGTGGCAGCCTGAGGGGCACTGACCACCCATTTCCCCAAAATGACACCAGAGCAGCAAGATGGGAGCTGGTTCCAGCACCGCCTCCCTGCCTGTGTGCCCTGGCATGGCTGCAGGGCTGTGCAGGCTGCCCAGCCTGTGCCACCTCAGCCCCTGGCACCAGGAGCTTCGTCGGGTTGGAAAAGCAGGCAGTGAGTTCTTCTGCTCCCTGGGGAGCGCCAGAGAGGTGCACAGGAGCCAGCGCCATCCCACGGCTTCCTAATGGGATCAGCAGGAGTCCTTTGAAGCTGGCTGTGCCAGAGCAACGCCTCCGTGGCAGGGAATGGATTTTCTCTCCTCCCGGGTGGATGCAGCCGAGCGAGCTGCCTGCTCTTCATGCCTCCGGGGCCTGTCTCCTGGAAGCAGAAAAGTACACAGTGACCTACTTTTCTGAGCATGCCAAATGCATCCGAGGGGCTGCTGCTGCTGGTGCCAGCCTTCCTCCCGCCGGGCCCTGCCGCTGGGAGCATCCCTGCTGGTGGCATGCCAGCCCGGGGTGTTACAAAGGGAGCCTTGTCACCAGGGTGGCTCCAGCAGCACATGGCACCGACACCCTGGTGCTGGCCATGCTGTTCCCTGTGCCCTGTGGGGGTGTTGGTGCATGGGTCAGACAGGGGGATGCCCCCTCCAGGGTTCCTAACCCTGCCAAAGGGGTGCAAGTCCCTGAGGGACAGGGTAGAGGGGCTCAGGTACTCACAGCAAAGCTGAGCTGCTCCAAAACACCTTGGTGGAGCTGAAACTGCCCCCACTGCTGAGTGTGTAGGGAAGAAATCAGGCTGGGAAGAGCAGAGAGCCAGACACACTGTCTGCAGGGGAAGGTGGGGACAAACTTCTGCCCTTCTGCTTCCAGATGTGGTCACAGACTTTGACTTCTCACCCTTCGATCAGCTCTTGCTGGCCACAGGCTCTGCAGATGAGACGGTGAGTGCTCAGTGACAGGGGTCCCAAGGGGACACCTCGTGACCCCCAGGGTGTCACAGCAGAGCTGGAGTGGTGGGAGTAAGAGGAGCATGGGGTGGAGGGTGCCAGCTTTGGGAGAGTGGAGTGGAACATCCCCAGGGGGACAGAGCACATGGTCAAGGATCAGCCCCCTCCCATCTGGGACCTGATCCCCCAGAGCTGCAATGAGAGATCACCTGGGGATGCTCAGGGACCTCAGGGACCAAAGCCTGGGACAGCAGCGAGCCCCGGTGGGGCACTGCCAGCACCCAGCAGGGTCCTGCTCACCTGCCCTGGGACTGACCCCCTCCTCTCCTGGGGCTGCAGGTGAAGGTGTGGCGCCTGCCCGAGGGTGGCCAGGACATTCCTGGTGGCTCGGGGCTGACCCTGGGGCCCGGGGGGGCCCCGCTGGATGTGCTGCAGTTCCACCCCACGGCAGACGCTGTCCTGGCCAGCGGTGCGGGGAAGAGAGTCACTGTGTGGGACCTGGGCCAGCAGCAGCCCCTGACAGGTAGGCAGGGCTGTGACTGCCCATGACACGTGTCCTCCCTGTGTGTCTCTCCATGTGTCCTCCCCGTGTGTCCTACCCATGTGTCTGCTCCACGTGTCCTCACCGTGCCAGTGCCTGGGCTCGAGGCCTGACCTCAGTGTCACCAAAAAGGCAGCTCGGGTGGCTTTTTGGGCAGGGCACCACAGCCCCTTGTGCCTGTGCTGCCCTGCGCTCTGATGCAGTGGTGTGAAACACTCTGGTAATGCCCAAGGTGTCTGCAGGAGCTCTGCTGGGGATCCCCTGGGAGACAGGTCCCTCTCTCTGCATGTCCCAGGGCATGGGTAGATGTGGGTACTTGCTGACCAGCCTTGCCCAGACCTCAGCCATCCTGGGTGGCAGCATAGGCCTGTGGCTTTCCCAGGACTCCTGCTCTTTGTATCCAGCTGCCAGCAGCACAGGAACACTCCCTGCACAGACACAGCAGTGTCCCACTGCGTCCTGGCTGCCACCAGCCCTTTGGAAAGGCCAGATCATTTCTCCTGGGAAATATTCTGGGTGGGAGAGTGATGCCTCCTGCCCCGTCTGCAGGAGGCACCCTGCTTGATCCTGGCCCTGACCCTGCTTTATCCCCACAGTCCTGGATTCCCACGGGGACCAGCTGCAGAGCCTGACCTGGAAGCGAGACGGGCGCCTGCTCGGCACCTCCTGCAAGGTGAGCAGTGCCCAGGGGGACCTCGCTGTGGCACGGCAGGATGGGCTGTCTGCCAGCTGCTGGATGCACCCTGATCCCGGGGGGCACCCATTTCACAGAATCCCAGAATGGTTTGGGCTGGAAGGCACCTTAAAGCTCGTCTCGTTCCACCCCCTGCCATGGGCAGGGACACCTCACCTCAGCCCGGGGTGCTCAGAGCTCCATCCAGGCTGGCCTGGAACCCTTGCAGGCATGGGGAGCGTGGAGGGACGGGGAGTTTTGGGGTAGAAAGGGGCAGGAGCGGGGTCAGCGAGCCCGCGGGGAGGCGGGCAGGGAGCAGCACTAGATGGCGCCGGCCGCTCGCTGCGGGACGCGCCGGGAGCGCGGGGGCCGCGCCCGGCGGGGCGAGCGTGCGAAGGAGCGAGCAAGCCACGAGCCCCCAGGCCGTGCCGGAGGCTCGGCAGGCAGCTCTGAGCACACAGCCCCAGCCCCCAGCCGTGCCGAGGGAGAGCGAAGGGTTTGCGAGGGGAGCCCCGAAGGAGCCCCGGGCCCGGCCCAGCGTGCAGAGCCGGGCTGCGGGATGGGGCGGAGTCCCAGCGCATGGATGGATGGAGCCCCTGCCCCGAGTGCAGGCTGGGCTCAGGGGGTACAAGCCCCAGCCGTGCTGGCTGGGGTGTGGATCAGCCCCCCTGCACTGTGGCTCTGCTGGCACAATGCGTGCTCCCCAAACAGCACTCTGGCAGCAGGGCTGGCACCCGGGCACCCCCTTGCTGCCTCTGTGCCCTGCCAGCCATGCCGCGTTTGGCAGAGGGATGCCAGGCAGGAAGGGGCTCGTTCTCCTGCAGCACTGTCAGGATGGCATCTGAGAGTCAGGCTCCAGCCCTGGCCCTACTTGGGAGGCTCCCTTCTTTTCTGGGAGCAGTTTTGAGTGTGTCAGGGTCCTGGTGGGGTGCTGGGGGTGCCCCCCTGCCCACAATGTGGGAGGACAGAGTGCAAGCCATCCATAGGGATAGGCACTGCAGGCAGGAGAAGGGTCCTGGTGGGGTGCTGGGGGTGCCCCCCTGCCCACAATGTGGAAGGACACAGTGCAAGCCATCATAGGGATAGGCACTGCAGGCAGGAGAGTGATGGGCAGGAAGGGGAGGGCTGCTCACTCCAGCCTTCTGCCTTTTGCATCCTGACATCCCACTGGCCCCAAGGTCCTTAACCCTCCTCTGTTTTCTTTTATCTCACCAGGACAAGAAACTGCGGATCTTTGACCCCCGAGCAGGCCCAGCTGCCTCCCAGGTATGTCCCCTCTGGATGTGCTGCAGGCAGCCCTGCCCAACCTGTTCCCTGCAGGGGGGTGAGCTTTGGTCCCCCAAACCATCCCAGCCCTGGCTGGGCTTGGGAGAGGCAAGGAGCTGAGGGCAGGGGGAATAGGGCTGTTCTCCTAGCCCTGGTGGGGTTCAGCAGGGGGCCCTGCCCTCCCACCAGGCCAGGGAGCACCCCCAGGGCAGTGGCACGTGCCAAACGAGGCCTGTGTGAGGGCTCTGGGCTCTGCAGGCTCCTGGGCTCTGCCCCGCCCGTGGGAGCTGGACCAAAGGCTCTTGGGGACGAGGACCCACCAAGGGCAAGGGCTGGGCAGCTGGATCTGCACAGCTCAGCAAATAACAGTGATTAGGAAATAAGGAGAAATTTAAGCCTTGACGTCAAGTTCAAACAGCCTCTTATTAGAGGTTTCCTGTGGCTTGGGGGCTCTGGCTGCAGAAGGGGCTGGAAGCCTTTGGGAAGGGAGGGATGCAGTGGAGAGCAGGGTGAGAGGGCTGCAGTGGGCTCTGTCATCTCCTGCTGCCTGTGGGCTCGGGGAGCCAATGGCCTCTGGTGACAGTGCTCAGGCACAGTGATGGAGCCAGAGCTCCAATGCTGCTCCAGGACTTTCCACCTGCTCCTGCACACAACCCAGGTGCTGAGCTCCCCAAAGGCCCCTGGGTGCTTCCTGCCTTACAAATGATGCCCTGACCCTTCAGGCAACCTTATAAACACCCCACCACAAAAAATAAACACACAGCCAGCGGTGACACGTGCGGACGAGCCGGGGCAAAGTGCTCCCAGCACTCCAGCAGCTGCCACAATCCTGTCCCGCTCCAGTTGCCTCAGCATGGCTGGGAGATCCCATTCTCTACTCCAAAATTTATCCAGAGCTGGCCTCAGTGCTCCCCTCCCCTCCTGGCCCCCCTTCTCCCCCTGCCAGACCTGTCGGCTTGTCTGATGGCGGAGCTGTGAGTGCGATGGGCTCGAGCCAAGTCTCCTGGGGAGGGTGGACTCTGTCTCGCTGAGCTATTAAAAATAACGTGTGAATGATGGTGGCTGTTCAAAGCAGGCAGTTCACTTCCCTCCGCTGCTGTCTGATCCAGCCCGGGGCCGGCACTCTGTGCTTGCCAAGAGAAATATGCACCTTCACTGCCGCGGCCCTGCCCGGCCGGCTCGCAGTGGATGGAGATGTTTAGTCTTGGAGAAGTGCTCTGCTGAAGGGGAAAACTTTAAAATGCCATAAATCCTCTGGAAGTTTGCGCAGGGCTTGCTTAGCCAAGAAGAATAACGCTCCTGGGCTTTGTTCTTTTCTTTTTTCCCTGTTGCTGGAGGGCTGGGTTGGTTGGAAGGTCTCCTTCTCCCCCCGGGCCAGCGCGGTTACCGAGCCGGGTGATGCCGGGGCCGCCGTGCGGTGCCAGCACCTCGCAGGCTCCTGGCTTTGAACTTGCCTGGTTTTTTGCAGAGGTGAGCTGCAGGATGGGTTTCCCAGCTGTGCTGGCCCCTGCAGCACCGTGGGCTGGGTTTCCTCACAGCCGGCACAGGGTCCCGCTGCCGGCTCACCCTGGGCCCTCTGTGGAGCTGAGAGCCGGCCCCAGGCTGCTCCTCCGGCTGGGTTTCTTAATTGCCAAGCCTGCCTCATTAAACATTCCTTTGTTTAGAGCAGGGAAAAGAATGAGAAGGAACTAAAATAAGAAGTTCAGGGAGGAGGGGTTGCTCCTCCTCATACCTGGTGCTCTCTGGGGTACCTTGGACGTGGCACACATGGGGTTGGGGACTGAGGGTGGGTGACAAGGAGGGTGACTGGCAGGCTGCCCACACCCTGTGGCCGTATCCTAGCCAGGTCCTGACCCTCCATTCCCAGCTACGCCCGTGGCAGCTATTTTGAGCATATCCCAGCAGCGGGCAGACGTGTGTGACGCAGCATGGCCGGGGTCTGGCTGACCCCGTGGGGTGCCTGGTATGTACCCGGGGCCATGATTTCCCTTGGGAGAGCAGTGGCCTCATCCTGCTGGATCCCCATCCCTTTGTTGCAGCCCCTTTGTGAGCGTCAGGGCTATGCTCACACCCTATTGCTGCTCTCTGTGCCCTAAACTGGCAGTGGAGACACCAGGGCTGCCCTTGGTCCTGCCTTGCCACCCCATGGGGCCGCGCTCCTGCTGCTGGCTGGGTCCAGGTCCAAGCACCGCTGTCCTTCCAAAGAGTTCTGTGAGTTCTGTGCTCTTCCTTATCCCCTCCCGAGGCCGCACTGTCTGTCTGTCCTCCGTCCCGCAGGGTGGTGGTCGCTCTCCTCACCTGACCTTCCCCCTGGAAGCAAGTCACCTCCTCTCCCTTGTGGCTGTGGCCCTGCCGAGGCTCAGTGTCGCTGGTCCTGCCCTCACCCTCCTGCAATCCCCGTGCAAACCCCACCAAAGGTCCCTCCTGTGTCCTCCCGGGTCCTGTCCTTTGTGGGACAGGGGACACAAGGCTGAGCAGGGAGCTTGAGCACCAGGAAGCTCCATACCCATACCATACCCTCTCATACCTCAGTGGGTCACCTGCAGTGTAAGGCGATCATTCGGATATGCCCTGGGCTACTGAGGTGACATCTCTGCTTGCCCACTGCTGTGGCCACCTTCCCCTGGGTACAGAGCCCATGGGTCACATCCTGCTCCCCACAGGCTGTGGGGCTGCGTGTGCATCTGGCCAGCACCTGGCTCCCGGGACGGGCCTGGGACAGGCGGCGTCCGTGTGGAGCTGCGGGGAGCCGCTGAGCGCGGCCAGTGTGGGATGGAGAGGAGCCGGCTCCGTTCTCACGAGAAACTTCCTCCGCCGGCGTTTGGGCAGGGCCGGGGGCGAGGGAACGGCCCCGCGCACCGGGCCAGCGCACGCCCCGCTCACGTCCTAATGAGCTGAGCTAATGAGCGGGGCCGGGGCTCAGGGCGCCCGGGGACAGCTGGGACTGTCCCTGGGGGATTGTCCCCGCCGGGGGTTTGTCCCCCCGGCTCGCAGGCTGTGCCGGGGGCAGAGTTCAGCGATGAGCAGCGGCCGGGGCTCACAGCCCAAGCACAGCCGGGGCTGTCCCAGCCCTGCTCAAGGTTCCGGGGGAAGAGGGACTCCAGCCCCTGTCCCAGACCACGGCCACCATCCCACAGACCACATCAGCTGTGCCACAGTGGGAGATGCACCATGGAGAGGGTCCCTGGGGGCAGCGTGGCCGTGGTGGCAGGGTGATGCTGTGGCGGGGTGGAGATCCAGGTTTGGGGTGATCTGGCCCACAACCAGAACTCTAAGGACCCTGACATGTCACCTCTGCTGACCAGGATCCAGCTGTCAGCCCAGGGCTGGCTGGGGACCGCTTGTCATCATCGGGGAGGTGCATCAGGACGTAGAGAGACTTCAGCCTTCCTCCCACTGCCCCATCATCACGGTATCCCACGCTGGGGTCACCCCGGGGGTACCTGACTCCCAGCCTCGGCAGCAGCTTCCTCCGGGCTGGGGGAAGGTCCACAGCATCCCACATTCCCAAGGAGACCGTGGGAAGCTATGAAAAAGTTGGCCTGACTCTGGGCAGCCTATTTATAGCAGCGCACGCTCGGCGCTCTCATGCTTCTGTTCCCCAGCGTAGCTGCACGGGACTGTTTATATTTCCTCTGCTCCGCTTCCCCCTCGGCCGTCCTTCCCAGGAATGCCGCTTGGTATGGCAGACATGGGGAAGTCGAGGAGGATCTGGAATGAGCCAGAGGCATCTCAGGGGGTGTGGGTGTGTGGTGGCACTGGCTCGCCCTCGCCTGGGTGCCCGTCCCTCCCACTGGGAATGGCCTCACCAGCTGAGGCCCACACAGGTTGGCATCTCCATTACTGGGGCTCCTCATGGTATTTCAGGAGCCTCAGCTTGTGCCTGACCTGGGACTCCTGGCAGGCTCCTCTCCAGAGGGCAGAGGTGTTTTGGGATTTGATGGCATCATAGCAGAGCTTGTGGGGCTGGTGGCTGCAGGAAGAGGGGAGAGGCAGCAGAGGAGGGGTGGCTGCAGCCTGCCCACCTCCCTCTCCTGCCCCATCGCAGCCTTATAGTGTCTGTGCCCACTGGGAGCCCACCCGCCTTCCTGCCCTTGCTGGGCCCACAGCATCCTCTGGGACATGGCCTTGGCCTCACCAAGGGCAGGAGGGTTGGATGGAGCAAGGACGCCATGCTGGAGGTAAGGGGGAGAGGCAGAGCCTGGTGGTGCCCAGTTCCCCAGGGCACAGGAGCCTCACAGCAATGCTGCCCTGGCCAGTGGGACTGGGGAGGTGGTGTGGGCAGCAGGGGACTTGTCCTGGTCCCTGCCCAGTGTGACACACACATACCACACACCTGGCACAGAGCAGGGCCAGTGCTGGCAGTGTGATGGCTGCTGGAGCAACCCCACAGCTCTGTGTGACCCCTGCACTCCCCTGGGGCAGGTGACAGCTCCAGGTCTCCTTGAGCTCCAGGCAGAGACCAGGAGTGGGGCTGGCCTGGGAGAGGCTGCTCTGTTCTCCTGGTTACCTCTGCAGTAACTGGGATTTGGCAAGGGAAGGAGATCACTCGCATTCTTGTTCGGAGAGGAGGATTCAGTGCGTGGTTAACCCTCTCAGCTCCCGGGAAGCCGTTCCTCCTGCTGCCCACAGCCTCGTGGGGTGTGCAAGGAGCAACAGCTTCCCCGTGTGCACGGACCCGGGGTGGGTGTCTGTCCCCAGAGTCCCCCACAGTGGCCTGGCCAGGGGAGACCCCTCCTGCCCTGGCACCCCCCGGCAAAGGGGTAGCTCAGCCTGGCACTGGTGCCTCCTGTGCCCACGCAGATCCCGCCGCTGGGGTTGCTTCCCACGGGGATCAGATGTCCGTGGGCTGTTAGCCATGCTCATGGGCTGTTAGCCACAGGCAGGGCTCTGCCAGCCACGGGGGCTCTGCCAAGAGCAGTGTTTGACCCTCCCCGGCCACCTCCCGCCCTGCCAGCCCCAGGGCTCTGCCCTGCGCTCCAACCTCCGGCTCTCCCTGCCCTGCATCCGGCTCAGGGTGACGGCTCCCGGGGAGACAGGGATCGCCTGGGAGCCGGAGCAGCCTTGGCTTTGTGTGGGGCTCTCCCAGGCAGCCGCGGAGCCGTAGCGGCCGCTCCCTGCGGGCAGCTGTTCCCAGCTCCCGACCCCGCCGCATCGCTGCCAACAGCTGCGGCCGACACGCCAGCCCTGGGCCCCCCGCAGCCCCGGGGCTGCCCCGGGAGAAGGGCTGGAGACCCCCTGGGAACCAGCACCTCACCCCAGCCTGCCTGGGAGGGATTGGTTGAGCCTCGGAGAGGGACGGTGCTGGAAACTCTCCCCATGGAGCCGATCTGGTTCCGAGGAGGGGGCACAGGCTCCCCCCAGCCTGGGCTGCCCAAAACCGGCAGGGCTGGATCTGTTCAATGAGCAGGAGGAGTCTGGGCTGCCTGGGCACTGGCAGGGAGCTGGGAGGCTTCCTTGGATCCCCGCGTGCTGGCCCAGAGCTGGCGGGCTCCTTGCAGCCTGCCGGGGGGACAAGAGGCTCAGGAGGGACGCCCGTCCCTTAGGCTGTGGCTGGTTCCCTGCTCCAGGGGTTCCAGCATCACTCCGGGAAGGGTGCCAGGGTCTCTGCCCAGCTCTGCCAGCCCCAGGGGTCCACAGCAGCCCCACGGGTGTCCCGGGGCTGAACCACACCAGTGTCCACCCTCAGTGCCAGGCCACACCGGCGCGTCCCTGCCAAGACCCTCTGCACCAGGGGAGCTGCTGTCCGCACGCTCACCTCTGGCAACATCTGCACAGCTGAGCACGGAGCGGCCCAGCCTCCCGCATACTTGCTGCCATACGTACAGCTCAGCCGGGATGGAACTAATGCAGAAAACATGGCCCTGCGCCGCAGCCGGCACGCCGGGGGCTGGGAGCACAGCCCTCCTGGCTGCCCTCCGCCAGCCCTGCCACCGCCCCGGGGCTGCCACCACCGCCAGGGGCTCCGGGGCACCCGCGGGACCCGGGGCTGGGGTTATGGGATCTGCAGATGTGGAGCTGTGGCTGCCGCAGCCACACGGCTCAGGTGCAGAAGTGCTCTCCAGGCTGACGCGCGGGCTGGCCCCAGCTCCTGGAGTTTCCATCCCTCTTGGCACCGATCCTGGGACACGTTCCCTTCCCCAGGTCGTTTCCCTGCTGGGTCCACTGCCAGCGTGCTGGCGGTGGGGGCTGGGCCCCTCCTGCCCCACATCCTGGCCCTGCGGCTGGGAGCTCCGGGCTCGGCTCGGCCAGCGCTGCCTCTTCCAAGTGAGCCGTGTTTGTGCTGGCAAGGCCGCTGGCGTGACGGAGCCAGGGCACGACAGGCTTGGCACCGCGCGCCTGCTCCCACCCTGGCTCTCTCCGGAGAGCAGCATCTCTCTGGGGCTGGAGGCTGCTCCAGCAGAGCTTCTCCAGTGAGCTGCGACCCCTCCGTGGCCCCTCTCTGGCTGCCGTGGTGGCAGAGCCTCGCTGGCGGTCACGGTGCTCGCACCAAGGGGGACACAGCTCATGGCTCCTCCGTGGGCACCATCCGTGCCCCCCCCACGCCTGGTGCCCTTGCCCTGCGCGGAGGTCCCGGAAGCGCCGTGCCACTTTTGGCTCTGGCAGAGCCCTCTGCTTTCCCTGCCAGCTCTGAACTCGTTAGCAGCCAGTTCTTGGCACTCCTCAATGAGAGCCAGGGGCTGCGAGCGCTGCTGGTGCTGCAGGCCAGGGCTGCCTGCGGCTCCCACTGGGGCTCCGGGAACTGCAGGGCCCATCTGGGCACCACATGGGAGCTGGGAAACACCCGCTGACAGCCCCCTGGAAGCTCTTCCCTCCCATCCTCAGCAGGACCAGGATGGGGACAGGATGTGGGCTGGGGGTCCCACCCGCACAGGGAGCCAGGGGAGAGGTGAAGCAGGGTGCAAGGGATTAGAGCAGTCTGGTGAACTTGGCCAGGCTCAGTTTGCCGTGTTTCAGTAGTGTCTGGGCACACACGGGGCACCCAGCTCCGGGAGCCAGGATTCAGCATGGATAAAGAGCCCAGGGATGCAGCCAGGGAAGTAAGTCCCTCTGTCATCATCACCATGGCAGAGCCTCCTCTTGCATCTGTGGCACTGAGCAGCTTCCTCACAGCACTCTGTCCCACTCACCCGGGTGACCTGGTGTGGGGAGAGCCCTGGGGACACGGGAGCCATCTTCACACTCACGTTACCTGCCCCCACCCTCCCCTCCTTGCTGGGAGCTGGGCCAGCTGCTCCACAAGGCAACCACGCTGGCATGGGAAGGAGTCAGGGCTGTCACTGCTTGCGGGCTGTCCCCACTGCACTGTCCCCAGGGCAGCTCTCAGCAGAGCCAGCTCTCAGCTCCGCGTGCTCAGCCCTGGGGCAGTTCACAACCACGGCTGGTGAAGCACACGTCCCCTCAGCGTGTCCAGCATGGCTGGCAGCAATACTGACAGCCCTGTCTCCTGTGCCTTGCAGAGTGTCCCGGGACACGACAACAACAAGGACTCCCGGCTGCTCTGGATGGGCTCCAGCGATTTCCTCATCTCCGTGGGGTTCAGCCAGGTACAGTCCCTGCCAGGAAGGTGGCCCTGGCACCTCTGGCATGTTCCAGCCCTACTCCCTGTGGCTGCTGTGCCAAAGCACCCCAAGTACTTTTGGGGTGGCCTGTCCCCCATGAGAGCAGGAGGTCCTCTCACCAAATGCCCTGGCCCTTGCTGGGATGGTGGAAGGTGGCTGGGGAGGGTGGTGGCACCGTGGGGCCATCCAGGCAGCCCCAGTGCCCACTGACGCCGTGTCTGTGTCCCTGCAGATGCGGGAGCGGGAGGTGAAGCTGTGGGACACGCGGAGGCTCAGCGGGGCGACGCTCACCATGGCACTGGACACCTCACCTGGGTAGGGATGGGGACTCAGCACAGGTGGGAGGGTGAGCAGTGGAAACGTCGTGGTCAGGGACCCATCAGGAGTGTGGTGGTGAAGGAGGAGCTGGCAGAGAGCTCTTGCAACCAGCAGCACTCGGCCACAAGCCAGGGACCATGCAGCTGCGTCCCCATCACCATTTCGGGGAGATGAGAGGCAGAGGCAGGGCTGGCGAGGGCACAGAGGTGTTCTGTAGTGCCATGGGGGGTGGTGGCACTGCTGGGGACAGTGTCTGAGGTGGCTGCTGGCCGGGTGGGCTTGTGCACCGGGGCAGCACCACAAGATGCTGCAGGCGAGTGATCCCTTTGGTGCTGCTGGAGCAGCTCAGCCCTGGCCTCCCACCCCTGCTGTGCTTTGTGGCTGCCCAGCCATGGCCGGGCCCGCGCTCCCTGGGCAGCGCCAGGGAAGTGGAAAAGGAGCCTTGGCTGTGTAAGGGGTCAGCGCCCCTGTCACGGCACCATGGAGCCGTGTCCCTCTGCGTGGCGCTGCCAAGGCTGGGAACCCTCCAGTTAGAGCTGGCCTGGCCTCTCCCACGCCGCCAGTGAGCTGGCCTGGCGTCACCATGTGGGCAAGAAAATGGGAGGAGGAGGAGGCTGTGCCTTCATCCCACCAGGGTGATGGGGGTTGGGGGCACAGTACTTGTTGGGATGCACTGGAGGCCACCAGCTGTTCCCAGGGCTGCTGGCAAAGCACTGGCTTGCAGGGACCCTCACTGTGTGCCGAGCTGGCTCCGTGATGGGCAGGCTGCGTGGTTGGCAGCCAGTACAGGGCCTCTGGTGAGGGGCTGAGTGTGCTGTGACAGCCCCTTGGCTGCCCTGCCAGCATCCCCACAGCGGTGTCAGCTCCGGGCCAGTGCTGGGGGTGACCCAGACAGACAGGAGGGGAGAGGAGAGGACCTGTTGTGGGCATGGTGGGGTGAGGTTGGTGTGGAGAAGCTGCCTGAGCATCCCTCACCCTCCTGCCAGCTGCCAGGGGAGCAGCTCCCAGCTCTCCTGCTCACCAGCTGTGCCGGTTCAGTGAGCAAGAGCCGTCATCAGTGTCCAGTGAACGCTCTCAGGGGAGGCTGGGCTGCTGCGAGGGGACACCCTGGGGTCCATTATTGCTCTTGGCAGAGAACCCAGTGGGAATCACCCCGAATCCTCGCTGGGCCGGGCCGAGCCAGCCGGGTAAATGCGATGCAAGCGCTGCTGTGCTCGGCCCCTCAGCACAGGCTGCAGTTATTTTGGCTGCCGGGTTTATCGGCTCAGGAATGCGGCTGGCGGGCGCTGCCTGCGCGTCACGCCGGGGCCAGCCGAGAGGGGCTGGGGGCGGCGGGGGCGAGCGGAGACCCCCCTCGTGCTGGGGAGGTGCTGGTTTTAGGCAGCCGCGCCGGGGTCACCGCGCTTCCAGCCCCAAGCGCTCCCGCCTGTAAATGTGGCGGAGATGACAAATGGCGGAGGGGGATTTGGGCTGGCTCCCGGCGGAGGTGCCGAGCGGGGGCCGTGTTCCCCCTCCGGCAGAGCCATGCCGAGCACGGCCGCGACACTCCGGAGCCGTGGAGCCGCGGCGAGGGCACGGGGTGCATGGTCTCGGGGTCACCAGATCACCAGTTCTGCTTGGGGCAGACTTAGAACCGGGGGACAGCAGCTCAGCCCCCCGGGGATGGCCGAGCAGCAGCGGGGCTGGCTGTGGATCTCCGGCATGGCCCTGGGTGCCCGGTGTGGGCACGGAGATGTGTTGGGCAGTGCAGCGGTGCCGGCCGGGCCGTGAGCGGGCGTGGGGAGCTGCAGCAGCAGCAGCAGCAGCTCGTTGAAGCTCTTTGAGGAAGCAATCAGTGGGCGGGCAGGAAACTCATACCATTCATTACTGACGCCGGGCCGGCAGGAAGGAGAGTCCGCATCCCCACCGCATCCCCACCGCGCCCGCCGAGCCGGCACCGCGCGTCCCCATGGCACCCCAAAGCAGGGCCACGGCGTGCCCCAAGGTGGGGGACACCCCAGCGTGCTGACCCCAATGCCCGCAGCAACACCAAACCCTTCAGGCTGGTTGTGCCCTATCCAGCATCCTTGGAAGAGGGCAGAGAGTGGGAGGCTCCAGCCCCATGGACCTCCACATCACCATGTGCCTTTCGGGGGTTCTCTTTCTCAAATCCCGAGCAGGTGAGATATTTCTGACCACACAAACATAATTTTCAAAGCATGTCAGGGCCATGCTTAAGAGCTGACCCCACCAACATCCAGACCCTGAGGGAACAGGAGGTGGGAGGTGTGGGTGGCCATGGCCCCTCTCCGCATCCTGGTCCTGAATGTGCCACCCCTGGATACCTGCTGTTCCTTCAGCTCGGGTTTTGTCCCCGCCTGGCCCCCTTTAATTAGATCAAGGAGCAGCAGGGCAGGAGCCAGGAAGGGGCCTCAATAGGTTATTGTTGCCCTAAATTGTAACCAGCACCGGCGGGGTTGGGTTACCAGCTCCACTCGGGGTCACCGACCAGACCCCGCTGCCGCACGCCCGGTGGCCGGCGCAGCACTGCCCGGGGACGGTGCTGTCACCACCACGGTGACAGGAGAACAGCGGCTTCCTTGCGTCACTGCTTCTTTCAATGTCCTGAAAATGTCCCCGGGGAGGCTGGGGTGCCATGGCCAGCTCAGGGCTGGGGCTGGATCGGTAGGGATGAGATCCGGGGTCAGCAGAGGTTCCTGTGGCGTCTTCCAACAGTGGGCATGTCCCTCCAGGGCAGGATGGTGGTGGGGCTGAGGGATGGGGACAGCTGGATCCCCACCACCTTTCACGGTGCAAAGTCTGACAGAGCTGGGAGGTGCCGGAGCCGGGACCTGTCTGTGGCAGGGAGTTGGCACAGCAGGATGTTTGTGGAGGGATTTGGGGCTGTTTGGCTCCCCCAGCGCTGGAGCAGGACATGGAGGAGCCCAAGTGGTTCCCTAGGGGCACTGCCCAGGGGGACTCAGTCCCTAACACCCACCCCTGCCCTTCTCCCTGCCACAGCCTGGCTGAGCCAGCTCCTGGGGCTGGGCTTGCAGCCCTGGCATCTCCCAGCTCCAGGGCACCCAACCCCACCGAGGCACATGTTCCCAGTGTCACCCTGCCACCTCTCCTCAGATACCAGCTGGAATGGGACCTGCTGTTGTCCTGCCTGGCACCCTCTGCACTGCTTTCTGCTGGGGCTTAGTAGCCATTTTGGGTCATGGTAGGTGTTTTGGGGATCTCTGAAAAAACCCACCCTAGCAGGAAGAACCCTGAGCAGGACAGGTCCATTGCTGTCCCCATCTCCCTGCAGATCCCAGAGATGCCTGGGTTGACATGTGCTTGTCATCAGTAGGAAAGGGGTTTTTCCTGCCCCAGCTTGGCTGCCACCCTCAGACACAAGGAAGGGGAGAGGCCACCCCACCCCATCAGGTGTCACCCCAGTGGGACCCATCCCCATGGGCAGCCACATGAAGGGGTTAAGGCGGGGCAACCACGCAGCCCATGTCGCCTGTCCCGTAATTCCACTGGGTAAAAATAGCCCAGCGCTGGGGCGGGATGGCAGCGCCCAAATCACTCCCAGATGAGCCACAGCCTCGATGGCCACACGGTGCTCCTGGCCTCCCCAGCTCTGTGGGAAGATGATGAGGTCCAGAGCTCTTCCTGGCAGCACTGGGGTCAGTGTGATGGGCACACGCCTGTCCTCCCCCCAGAGATTGGACATCCAGACCCCTGGCACCAAGCCATGACCTCTCAGGGCTCTGCTCCAGACCTGGGGACCTGGGGCACCCAGAGGACTATCTTTGGTTTCTGTGGGGCCATGTCTGGGACCAGGGGTGATTTTTGGGAGACCAGAGCCCTCCAGCCTTGCCACGTCAGGGTGCAGGCAGGATTTGCCCCGGTGAAGGCGGCGGCTCCTCCCGTTGTGGCTCCCCGCCGAGCCCCCATCCTGCTGGTGGCTCTGGCCGGGGCTGTCGCTTACCGGCCCCGCCGGATCGCACAGAGAGAGAGAGATTTTTTTTGGGTCCATTTCAGGGGGTTTTGCAATCCTTGTCGGCGCTGATTCAGCTCGCAGGAATTAGCAGCGCCGCACGATGTGCCGCTCTTGGAGCAGCTCTTGGCGCGCGACGGGGCTGGCAGCGGCCAGGGGAATTTTGTGCTGGGATTCAGGAAGCCACAGGGGCTGGACAGTCCCACTTTGGGCACTGCTGCTCTCCCGCAGGGCTGCCGGGTGCAGATGTGGTGTGGGTGGGGGCCAAGCCCTGTCCTGGCTGCAGTGTCCCCATCACCTTTGTGCCAAGGCTGAGCCCTGCTGCCCCTCTTGTGCAGCTGGCACCCCAAAATCTTTGGCTCGGGGTGTCCCAGGGGTACTGCACCTGCCAAAGCTGAACCCTAACTTTGCTTCTACCCTCGTGGTGTCTCCACTGGAGCTCCCTCACTCCGGAGCTGCTGGAAGCCCCTCCAGAGCAATGGGATCAGCTGAGGTGCCAAGGGTCCCCCGCACACACTTGGCATGGAGGGGTTAACCCTGCAAACCTTCGGCTACTTGCAAGTGGGGAAATCGGCTTCATTAGGGGAAGGGCATATCATGGAGGCAAAGGAGGGGGGAAGAGAGGGGCCAGGAGGGGCTGGAGGGCTCCTGACGCCGGTGCCGGCGGGGACACGGCAGGGGCTGGCCCGGGCTCGGGGGGCTGTGGCGGCGGCCGGCCGGGGGCACGCGGCGCGAGGCCGCGGCTCCGCCAGGGACTTTTCTTCTCTCCTCCTCGCGAGGCTGGAAAATATACAAAGCTCGCAGTGAAAATATTTACACAGCAGCAATTTTGGGAGGAATTTGGGATGTTAATTTGAAAAATCTGTGGGGAGAGGACCACAATGGGCCCTTTGAGCGGGCGAGCGTGGCCATCGCAGCGAGCCGCCCGCGCCGGCGAGGGGCCCCTCCTGCCGCTGCGCCGGCCCTAATGGGAGCCAGCCCTGCCGGAAGCCCACCTGGGAGCCGGGGGGCTGCGCCAGACGGCCCCGCCGACGCCCCGCGCCCCTAATTGCATCCAGAGCCGCTGTGTGCCCCGGGCGAGCGGCAGCGAGGGGCCGGGGGTCAGGGCCGTGTCCCGCGGCCGGCCCGGAGCGGCACGGCGCTGACCCTCGGCTTCGGCCCCGCGCTGTGCTCATTCGCTCCAAATCAAACATACCTCGGCGGGCAGGGCCCCAACCTGGAAAATTCCAGCCCGAAAGATAAAGGATTGGAAAACGATTAAAACCAGAGGGTTGGAGCAGAAACCACTTGGCAGCGGGAACCTGCCGAGCGTCGGCTCGCAGCCCACCCCGCCGGGGCCAGCGCACAAAACCGGCTGTTCCTGGGGCCGGGCAGCGGGGGCTCTGGCGGCGCCCCCGGCTTGGGGGGCCACGCAGGCTGACACTTGTCACGGGCGATTTGGGGGTCCCGGTGCCGCCGCGGGTGACGTCAGGAGGTTGGGCTGGGCTGTTTGTCCCGCAGCTGGCCCCGCAGCCATCTGGCAGGCGGGGAGCGATGAAGTAAGGCTGGATGATGCGCAGGGCAGGGGCTCATTTGAACCCCGTGGCCTCTGTTTTGGGAACACCTCCCCAGCGCCCGAGGTGGGGGGGCAGCGTCCTAGGGGTAAAAACGCCCAGAGTAGGGAAAACTCCCCCCTCCCTTGCCCTGACTCATCCCGGTGCTCGCCAACAACAACGGGAGGACACGGCTGACCTTCCCGCTCCTCTGCAGGGGACACGCGGCACTGCCCACACCCCTGCCTGTGACGGGCAGTGCCTGCCGAGGTGCTCAGGGCTGCACAGAACTTCTCGTTGTTGTCATTTTAATTATTTTGGGCTTTTTTTTTTTACAAAAAGACACCCTTCTGATCTGCCTTACAAAAGAGATGTACACAAACCTGTACTAAAAAAAGTTTTCCCAGAAGAAATGGGAAATAACAATGTATAAATATTCTCTCTGAGTTCTTAAAGCTTCAATTCCCGGTTTGCCTGCTCGGCACTTCCTTTGGCCCGGGGGGTCCCGAGGGTCCCAGCACCTCGGCCGGGCCATATTGCTCACATCAGCTTCCAGGGAGTCGAGTCATGGGCCGTGCTCCGCTGAAGGACCCTTGTTACCAGCACGTGGGCGTCCCTCAGCCCAGTCACAGCAGCTTTCCCTTTAGCAGGAGCTAAAAAAAGCCCCCCCAACCCCCAAATTAACCCCCCCTTCTCTTCCGCTACCCACATTCCAGGTAGAGTCACAGAAATCAAGGCACAGAGCAGTAAATTCGTGTCTCCTCCCAAAGCATGGCAGCCTCTCGGAAATTGCACGTTGTGGGACGGGGGTGTTTCTGCCTCAGTTCAGTCAGCTCCTTGGCAATCTGTATCCCAGAGGGACATGGCCAGGTGCTGCCACTGGAGCTCAGCCCTCCTGTGTCCAAGGCTCTGGAAGCCCTGTGGGTTCAGAAGTAGGAGGGTTTGAGCCCCGGGGTGTTGTTGTTGCTGGGGTAGTGCGACTGCATGAGCGGCACCTCGCACTCAGAGCCACCAGAAAGCATCGCCGCCTCTGGCACCTTGCAGCCGTGGCTGCTCAAATCCCCGTTTTCCAGGCAGGCTTTCACCCCTTCCAGCTCCAGTGGGCCGGCGTCCACCCCAGCGCCGGCGTGCGCCTTGGCGCGGCGGTGCCGGCAGTAGTACATGGCGGCGGTGACCACCACCAGCAGCAGCAGCAGGGCAGCCAGCGCAGGGACGAGGATCAGGGCGAGGTTGGGGTCCTGGCTCTGGGTGACGGGGGAGTGCTGCTGCAGGCTGAGGGGCAGGGTGTGCGCCTCGGCGCAGTGCTCCTCCTTGGGGAGCTCGCCCAGCGCCCCGATGCACACGCGGTAGGTGCAGTTGGGTTTCAGCGCCCGCACCGTGTACTCGGAGAGCGAGGCCGGCAGGCGCAGCATCACCGGCCGCTTGTCCGGCCCTGACAGGTTCCGGTAGCTCAGGCGGATGCCCTTCAGCTGCGCCTTGGACTGGATGTAGTTGTGCAGGTCCACTTTGAGAGAGGTGCTGCCCACCTGGGCGATGCTGACCCGCTGGGCAGGAGGCAGGGCTGGTGTGCCCGGGGCTGCCGTCGTTCCCCTCGCCTCCACCTCGCAGTACACGCCAGCGAAGCCCGCAGGGCACAGGCACTCCAGGAGGTTCTGGGCACCCAGGTGGCAGGTGCCGCCGTTCAGACACGTGCGGGGGGGACAGATGGGCGCTGGGGGGCTGGTGGAGGCCGGGGCACCGCTGAAGGGCACCGAGGTGGAGCTGCCCTGGGGCTCTCTGGGCCTCAGGGTGGGTGCAGCGGTGCTGGGGGGCGGCGGCGGGCGGTGGGTGCTGGGCAGCGGCGCAGGCGGGGGCAGCGTGGTGGTGCGGGGCGTGGTGGGCGTGGGGGTGGTGGTGGGGCAGCCAAAGTCAGTGTATTGCAGGTGATGGAGAAGCTTGCCCGAGTTTTTGGGGGGGAAGTGGCAGCGCGTCTCCTCGGGGCGCCGCAGGACCACACCGCTGGTGTTCACCCACTGCACCAGCCAGCTCATCTGGCAGATACAGTTGAAGGGGTTGCCAGCAGCCGTCACGGCTCGCAGCCTGGGGAAGAAGCCGGAGAAATCCCGAGGGATGGTGTTGATGTTGAGGTTGCTGATGTCCAGCTCCTGGAGGTTGTGGAGGCTCTGGAAGTCCTCAGCCGGCAGCTGGGAGATGCGGGTGTTGCCGGCCAGGCTGAGCCTGGTGAGGCTGCCCAGCCGCCGCAGCACCGCCGGGACACGCTCCAGCAGGTTGTCAGAGATGTCCAGCTCATGGAGGTTGTTTTGGACCTGGAAGAGCTCCTCGTTTAAGCTCATCAGGCCCAGCCCTGCGATCTTCAGGGACTCAATGCTGACGGCATGGAAAGCCCCTGGTGCAATGGCAGGGATCTTGTTCCAGCTGATGTCCAGCAGCAGGAGGTTGGGCAGGTCGAGGGGGGGCACAGCCCTGAGCTGGTTGTTCTGCAGCTTTAGCTCCAGCAGATTCTCCAGCGTGTCGAAGGCAGCAGCGTGGATGTGCTGGATCATGTTCCTCTGCAGGTAGAGCCGTTCCAGCAGCCGCAGCCCATGGAAGGTCTCATTGGTGATCTCCTGCAGCTGGTTGGAGGACAGGTCCAAATTGACGAGCTCCGTCAGGGGCTGGAAGATGTTTCTCTGGATGCTGGTGATCTTGTTTTGCGAGAGGTCCAGGAGCTGGAGGGCAGGCAGCCCTGCAAAGCTGTCCTCACTGAGCGTTGTGATGCCGTTCTCGAAGACGTAGAGGGAGAGGGTGCTGGGGGGCAGCCCCCGGGGCACCGTCTGGCCCCGCCTGGCTGCACACAGGATGGTCTTTGGATCATGGCACTGGCAGCCTGCAGGACATGCCCTGGCCAGCTCCCCACGGGCCAAGAGCAGTAATGTGCAAAGGATCAGCTGTTTCATGGTGTCAGCTCTGCGGAGAGACAAGCGCAGCCAGGGTGAGGGGCTGGGCCCTGCTGGGGGGTACCCAGGGCTGTGGGGCACCTCTGAACCCCACTCTGCCTCCGGGGCTGCCCACCCCAGCTCCATGCTCCCCCCTCCCCAACCCCCAGGATCTGGGGATGTGGTACCTTTGCACACCCCAGGCTCTACCATGAGACACTTTCCACTGGTATTGGGGCCGTCTTCAGTGGAGCACCGAGACCTTTCCCAGTACTCACAAGGGCCCCAACCTCCCCAGCTGCTCAGCAGGGTGCAAATCAAACACAGGGGATGCGGAGAATATCAGAGCACCGGGAAGGGGTGGGAGCCTGGCCAGCCTCCCCTGCGTAGAGCTCAGCTTAACCCTTTGCTTGTGCCATCGTCACAGCAGCTGCACCCTCAGGGGCTGTTCCTGCCCAGATCATCAGGAAACGCAGCCCCTCTTGGGGACAGGGGCACAGAGTGTGGGGCTGGAGGAGCCATTTGTGTCCCCAGAGAGTACAGGGGCTCATATTCACCCCACCACACCCCTGTCCCTACAGGTCACCTTGCTGTTCCCCTCACTGTTAAACTCCAGGGACTCAGCACAGAACCGTGGGCTGTGCCCCTGTCCCTTGAGGGCTGGGTCAGCAGGGATGGAGGGAGGAGGCTCTGGGGTGACCAAGGCTGTAACCACCCCAACCCCAGCTCCCCATGGATGCCCTGGCCAGTGTCACAGCAGCTGTGTCGCAAAGGGCTCCTCCCTCAGCCCCATCTTTCAGCCCCTTTAATGACACTAGGTTGGGCCAGAGACTCACAATCTCCTGCCACTCCATCTCAGGGTCGGGGGGAACTGGCAGAATGGAATCCCTGGGTAAGGAAGAGGCGAACCCTTCCCCAGCCCCATCTGTTGCCACCTCCCCCCTGCTCAGAGCTGTCGGAGCTCCAGGCAGACGCCCCCTCTGTGGCTCACAAGGGGCCCCCGCTGTGTGTGGGGGGCTGCAGGTCACACAGCAGCACGTGCCGCCTGCCCCGGCCCCATCAGCAGTGCAGGGACAACATATCCTGAGCCAGGGGGGTCTGGACCCGTGCTGTGTCCTCTTGTCCCCCTGCCGGGGTGTTGGACAGGGTTAACACAGCAGCCAGCTCTGTCCTTGCCTCTTCCTGAGGGGCCCCCCCCAGGGTGGGGTGAGCCCACGGCTGGGCAGGGTCACCAACAACCGCCTGAGTCACTTGGCCCGGCCAGCCCTGCCCTGACATGACCTGTGCCGTCAGCCCCCGACACTGGGGAGGAGCCAAGCCACATCCACGAGGTCACTGTCACCCAGGGGTCACCATCACTGCATCCCCTCCCCAGCTCAGCCCCCAGCCCCTCACCAGTGTCGGGTGCTCCTGCACCCCACATCACAGTCAGCAGAGTTAAAAACACAACATGGAGACCCTGTGAAGCGCTGTTTGGGGTTGGGGACAGACCCAGCACCCCTCGAGGTGGCTCCAGCATCCAGAGCATGCTGGCTGGTGGGAGAGCCGTGGGTGCAGGGTGCTGGCATGCCAGCGGTGCCACGGCCGTGCCAGCCCGCCCGGGTGGGCAGCGCCGGAGCGGGGCCAGGCCTGCGGGATGCTGGTGAGGCCGGGGCTGGTTTTGCAATGCCAGGGTCGGGTTTCGCTGACGTGTCCCGTGCTGCAACCAGCTGCTGACTCCAAGTCTCTCTCGTCCCTTTAATTACGCTGGCATTTCCTCCCCGTCTGCCAGGCTCCCCGCTCCGGGCAGGTTCGGCCAGCCCGGCCAGGGCCGCGCATCCGCGCCTGGCCACGAGCGCCGGGCAGGCTGGCACGGCCCCCTGGCACAGCAGGCTGGCACGGCCCCGCAGCCTCCTCCGCCCCTCGGCATCGCCGCTCGGCCGGCACACGCCAGCATCCCGCCCGCGCCCGCTCCCGGCACGGCGCTGCTTCGAGGCACAGAGGAGCTCCCCCAGCCCGGGACAGCCCAGAAACGGGGGGCAGGGGAACAGCCCCCCCGGCCCTGGCAGGGTCCCCGAGGGCGGAGAGGGGGCCCCGTTTGTGCTGGAGGTGTTGGGGCCGCCCTGCCAGCGGCCTGCTGCTGCCTTGGCTGGGCTCCCCCGCGCCTGCACCGCAGATATTTGCCGAATTATTCATATTTTCCGGCTGCGGGGAGGATCTGGGCTCAGATTCCCCCAGTCCCGGCTCAGCCTTTCCCTGCCAGCCTGCTGGGGTGGGAGTGCCGTGTCACCCCCGGGCTGGGCCGCGCGCTGCCCCTGGCAGGGGATGCCCCGCTTTGCACCCGCCTCCTGTCCTTAAGGACGAGGCCGATGTCCCCGCGCTGCAGGGTGACACCTGTGCAGGACAGGCTGCAGGAGCTGCAGGGTCCCTGCCTTTCCCCTCTGCTTGGCGACCTCAGGGAAGCAGGCACAGCCGGGATGTTCCTTCCCGCACCGGCGAGTGCAGACAAACAAAGCCAGCGTTGTTGCTGGCCCGTGGGCTGCCACCTCGGCCGGTGGCACCAGAGCAGGAAGGACGGGGGCCCCGCAGCGTGCGGTGACAGGGAGGGACACGGTGCCTCTGCCAGGCGGGCTGCAGACGCTGCTCCCCTGCCTTACACCCCTCAAAAGGAGCCGATGTCAGCACGTGCCCCCTCCCCCGAGCCAGCCGGGGGGATGTGCAGGATTAAGCCCTTAATCCTCCTCCCCTTCAACCCACCCTGCGCCGCCGCAGCTCCCACCTCCTCCCGCTCCCCTCCCTATTTAATTAAAGTTTCCGCAGCAGCCCCGCAGGAATGCGGGCCTGCTTATTGCATTCCCCGGAGCACTCGCCAGCCCCTCCATCGCGCTCCTGCCCCTTTGACCCGGCCGCGCTCCCCATCTCAGGTGCCGGCAAGGAGAAAAACCAGCAGAGCCGCTTTGCCGGCAGCCAAACCGCCTCGGGAGGAGCCGGAACGCCGGCGGAGGGTGGGAGGAGGCCGGCGATGGTGCCACGCGTGGCCCGGGCGGCACGGGCAGATTCCTCCGCAGTGACTGGGGCGGCCGCGGCTGTCCCCGAGCGCTTCCCCGTGCCGGCAGAGCCAGCCGGGCCGGCAGCGCCTGCGTCAGGGCCACCGGCCGGGCCGGCCGGCCTCGGCGTGGCGCGGGGAAAACAGTAATTAGTGTCATCGCTGATGGCGGCACTGCCCAGCGCCGTGTGGGCAGCGGCACGGCTGGGTCAGGGCAGCGCGGCCGCCACAGCCACAGCAGGATGGGACCTGTGGGCGTGGGGCACGCTGGCAAGGGGAGGAGTACCGGGGGACTCTACTGGGGGGCTGCTGGTTGGGAAGAGTCAGAACTGGAGCATCTCTGCTGGCATGTGTTGGCTCCTGTGGCCAGTGCCAGCCTGGGAGAGAGCCAGGAGTGGAAAGGGACATTTACCCCGTGGTGGCCCAAAGAGGTGACACCCAAAGACAAAGAGGTGACACCCAGAGGGTGACAGGCGCCCAGCACCCTCTGAACTCACGCCAGGTGACAATGAAGTGCGCAGGGAGCTGGTGACAGGAGAAGAGGTGGCATATCCCTGCCTCCCGGTGCCAGGCTGGCCGGGGGCCCTGCTGGCACCCATCCCTCTGTGCCAGCCAGAGGGAAACCCTTGTCGCCACCGCGTGGGGACCCGCTTGGCCCCACAGCAGGTCAGTGACCCAGGACAGCAGCCCCTGAGGACAAGCAGAACGAGGGCAGCCAAACCCCACCCCAGCCAAGCCCTCCAGTGAGGAGGGTGGTGTTTGACACTGCTGCCAGCAGCTCCCACCTCTGCCTGACCCCAGCAGGAGAGCCCAGCCGCCACATCTGCCAGGACAGAGCAAGCACGGGATGGGCCCAAGACCGTGCTGGTCCCGTGTGGGTTTGGAGTACTTCACTGCCACTCGGCCACGCCGGATGGAGCCATGCTCCATGTCAGCCCCAAACACATCCCTCCCCTTGCCTGCGATGGATGCAGCACCAGACCAGGATCCCTGGGCCATACCCCAGCGCATCCCACGGCAAAACAGGCACAGGCAGGGACAGGGAAGCAAGAGCCCTCCGTGAGCCCCTGTCCCAGCCCACTGCAGTGCCACCGCCCCAGCCCAGCCGAGGCCCCACCATCAGCCGAGGCAGGGGCCAGCCGGGTGCCCCTGGCTCAGCTGAGGCCTCGCAGGGAGCAAGGCATGCCGACCCTTAGCCGAGACCCCAGTGTCACCCTGTCACTCTGAGTGCCCAGGCCACACCGAGCGTCCCACGGCCCTGCCGGGCCCACCACAGGGCCCCCCGGGCCCCACCGCCCCCTGAGCCCGTGGATGCCCGGCAGAGCCCCTCCCGCCCGTGGGCTGCCGCCCCACAGAGCCCGGGTGGCCGTGTGGCGGGTCAGGCGGTGCGGCGGCCGCGGGACTCACCGTGGCGGGCGGTGCGGTGCGGGGCTGTGCGGGCGGGCGGTCAGTCCATGGCGGCAGCGCAGCGGCGGCCGGGCGAGCGCTCCCCTCTCTGGCGGCGCCGGGCGCGGGGGGCGGCATTTAAACCGCGGGGGCGGGGCCTGCCCTCCCGCCGGGCGCCCATTGGCTGCGAGCACCGAGGGGGCGGGGCGAGGCACGGCCTCCACGGAGGCTCCGCCCCCGCTCACCTGGGGCCCGGCGGGGGCGGCACCGCGGGGACACCGGGAGCCCCCGAGCCGCGGAGACACCGGGACCCCCGGGATCCCCGCGAGTCCCCGAGCCGCAGGGACCGTGGAGACACCGGCACCTCTGGGGCCCTACAGCCATGGGGACCGCAGGGACATCCAGGGCCTCTGGGACCCTGGAGTCACAGGGACCGTCAGGATCCCGGAGACACAATGTCCCCGGGACATTCAGGACTTCTGAGTCACAGGGACCCCCTGGACCCGCAGGACCTCTGGGACTTCAGAGTCACAAGGACCCTCGGGATATCCAGGGTCTCTGAGTCACAGGGACCCCCGGGATACCCAGGACATCTGGGGCCTCAGGGTCACAGGGACCATCCGAGCACCCAGGACCTGAGTCACAGCAGCCCCCAGCACCTCCAGGACCTCTGGGACCTGGGAGTCACAAGGATCCCAGAGGCCTCCACAGGGACCTCCAGACCCCGTGACCCCCCAGAGTCACAGGGACATTGAGATTTCAGGAGCCTCCAGAGTCACAGGGACCTCTGGGACCCCTTGGGAAGTCCATGTTACCCCAGGACCCACAGGACCTCTGGAAGCTCCCAGACCTTCCAAACCCTCCAGGCCCTCCCAGGACCTTCAGCGTCCCTGGGGCAGCCCTGGTGTGTGTACACACAGGTATAGGGCTAGATCCAGGTACAGGTATCTCCCTCATATCCCCTGCACCCCCTGGTAACAACAAAGGCTGGGTTGGGTGTCCTTGGGGTGCCCAGGGACACTGATATCCAGTGTGCCCAAGGTAACCAGGGACTCTGGCACCCTGAGCCCCAGTGCCCTGGGGTCCCAGTCCCCCCATGCCCCTGGTGTCCACAGAGCTCCTGCCACTGTGTGCCAGGGGACAGGGGGAAAGTGGGTGGCCCTTGCAGGGCTGTCCCATGCCTCTGTGACAGCAGAGCAATGCTCCCTGTTCAGCATGGTGAGGATGGCACGGGTTGGGCTGGCACAACCAGGCACTCAGGGTGCCCTTGTCCCCGACCTGCACCACTGTGGTGGTGGCAGTGCTGGTGACTGTGGTGGCAGCAGGGCAGGGGACGCCGGTGCCTGCCCCAGACATCCTGGTGGTGTTTGCCTAGGTTGTGCCAACAGCTCTGGGGCAGGACCATGCCATACCAGATATCCTGCATGGCATGGGATGGCATGGAGCAGCTCCCTCCCCTTGGCACAGCCACAGAAATGTCAGCCGAAAGTAATGGATTGTCCCTTTGGCCGTGCCTGCGGCGCTCCCTCCTCCACCCCTGCGGAGGGAAGGCACAGAGCGCCTCTGTGCTCCTGTCCCCACCATCCCCTCAGGCCACCGAGTGTTCCCTGTGGTCCCCTCCTGCCACCGAGCGTGCCCCAGCCATGGAGCCCTGGCTGCGGTGTGGGAGCGGGTGCAGGGCAGGGAGCAGGGAGCAGGCACACGCTGCAGTGGCACGGCGGCCGCAGGGCATTCCCGGGGCTGGCCGGCTCCGCAGGTGAGCCGGGCGTGCCACGCGCCCGCCCCGAACTGGCCAAGCCGGCCCGGCCGCCCCCGGGGGACCCCGCGGGTGCCAGAGGCTTCCCCGGCGAGGCCGGGTGCCACGGCCGGGCACAGGGAGCAGGGCAGGGAGCAGGATGCCCCACGGCCATGCAGGTGGCAGTGACACCCTGCTGCCAAGCTGTCAGCCCAGGCTGGGACAGTGAGGGCTGTCACCTGGGGACCAGCCCAGCAGCCTGCTGCCCTCCCATCGCAGCACGGCCTCCACGCTTCCCCAGGACGGGGTTTGGGGTGTGCACCAGGGGGGGAGCAGGATGCAGCCCCACATCCATGGGGGTGCTGTGCCCATGGGGCCCTGGCTCAGCACCCCCTTCCCTTGCAGGGTGACCATCCCTCTGTACGACGCCGACACGGGGCTGCTGGTGCTGGCAGGGAAGGTGAGGTCCCACGGTTGGGGGGTGTAGGGGGACACTGGGGGACAGGAGGATGCAGGGGAGTGTAGTGGGATGCAGCTTGGTACATGTGGGTGCTCCAGTGGAGTACAGGAGGTTATGTGTGGGTGCAGTGGGGTGCTTCCTCCAGCCCTGCTCATTCCCTGGAATGTCTCTCCAGGGAGAAAACCTCCTCTACTGCTTCGAGGTGTCCCCCACACAGCCAGCACTCACCCAGGGTAAGCAGGTCCCCTCCCCCCCATATCTGCCCCGGGGGGCTCACCAGTGCCTGGGCACCCAGCCCTCAGCACCCTGCCTGTCCCGCAGTGACGCAGTGCCGCACAGAGGGCAGCACGCGGGGCCTGGCGGCCGTGCCACGCCTGGCCCTGGATGTCATGGCCTGCGAGGTGCTCCGAGTCCTGCAGCTCACTGACACCGCCCTCGTCCCTGTCAGCTACCTGGTGCCACGCAAGGTGAGGGGGCCCTGTGGGTGGCACTGTCTCGTAGGTGCCTGGTGTCATCTCACGGGTGACACCTCACCAGCACTGGGTGACAAAAAGGACCTGGCTTCAGTGAGACCCCAGTCCCCAGCCTGGGGAGAACAGGAGAGATCAAACCTGGATAATGATGGTGGATTGCAAAGTCTGGGTGCTGGATTTGGGCAGCTGGGTGCTGCATGCAGGATTGGGGTGCTGCAGAGTGGATGCTGACAGCTGGGTGCCACCTGCTGGGTGCTGTTGTGCAGTGGGTGCTGGGCACTTCAAGCAGCTGAAGTTTGGGTGCTGGGTAGCATGGTCTGGGTGCTGGAAGTGTCTGGGGCTGCCCAGGGGTGCCCCAGCTGCAGCAGACAAAGGGTGTGGGATTTTGGGAACACCCATCTCACGCCATCCCCTCTCCCCCAGTCTGTCCAGGAGTTCCACGAGGATCTGTTCCCTGACTGCACAGGGATGCTGCCAGCCACCGATGCCCAAGGCTGGTGGGCAGGGGACAGCCAGCAGGTCTGTGTCATCTGGGGGGGTGTCCTTGCTGGTGGCATTGCCACTGACCCATGCTCACCGTTGTGCTCCGTGCAGGTGGGGAGGGTGAGCCTGCACCCTGCACGGAGACCCACGGAGACCTTCACATCCCCCATCATTGCTGGCACCGGCCCCACCGACACCGGCCACACCAACACCGACACCGGCCACACCGACACCGACACTGGCCACACCGACCCCGACCAGAGTGTGAGCATGGGGTGCTGGAAAAGTGCACTGAGTGCTGAAGGGGTGGGGTCCCTGCTGCCCTCACCCCACAGACAAGGCTAGGGTGCCAGCACCCCCTGCCTGGACTCTCTCTCTCACAGGAAGCCAGTGGCTACTCCTCACCATCCTCACTGGCCTCACCGGGCAGCGCGGCCACCTCGCTCTCCGCCAGCACCGGCCCCTCCAGTGGCTTTGCCAGCAGCCCCAGCCAGAAGTCCCTGCAGAGCATTTTGGGTGAGCAGGCAGTGGGGTGGCTCGGAGTGCCCCACCGGGGGCATTCAGGGCGCTCACGCAGCCCTCGCCTGCTGCAGGGCCCAGCTCCCGCTTCCGGCACGCGCAGGGCCGGGTGCTGCACCGGGACCAGCACCTCACCAACCTGCGGGGGCTCAGCCTCACCACGCCGGGCGAGTGCGACGGCTTCTGCGCCAACCAGCAGCGCGCCGCCCTGCCCCTGCTCTCTGCCGGCGGCCAGATCGCCGTCCTGGAGGTAGCCCGGGGAGGTGCGGGGGCCGGCACGGTGCCGGGGTGCCGTGCCGCTGAGCCCCGGCTCTCGCCCGCAGCTCTCCAAGCCCGGCCGTCTCCCCAACGTGGCCGTGCCCACCATCCAGAACGGCGCAGCCGTGGCCGACCTCACCTGGGACCCCTTCGACCCGCGGCGCCTCGCTGTCGGTACGTGCGTGCCAGCCCTGCCCAGGGAGTCCCCCAGCGCCAGGCGTGCCAGATCACCCCACTAAACACTGCCCATCCCTTCTGGCACAGCGGGCGAGGACGCCAAGATCCGGCTGTGGCGGATCCCTGAGGGAGGGCTGCAGGAGACCCTGCAGGAGCCTGAAGCTGTTCTCCGAGGTGAGGGGACTACTGAGCACCCCACGCTGGGGACAAACCAGCCTGGTGGCACCCACAGCTGGGGACAGCCACGCACTGCTGAACCTCTCCAGGTCACACGGAAAAGATTTACTCCATCCGCTTCCACCCCATGGCATCCGATCTCCTGGTCTCCTCCTCCTATGACATGACCGTGCGGATCTGGGAGCTGAGCGCCGGGCGGGAAGTCTTGTGCCTGCAGGGACACACGGATCAGGTAAGGGATGGCAAATCCAGGGACACCTGAGAGGCAGCTTTGGGACATTTGCACAACATCTGTCTCTCCAGATTTTCAGCATGGCTTGGAGCCCGGATGGGAAGAAGCTGGCAACGGTGAGCAAAGACGGACGGATACGGCTCTACGAGCCACGGCGCAGCTCTCAGCCTCAACAGGTACAATCCCAGCACTGGGGACGGGCTGGAGACCTGGGGCTGTGGGCAGGAACCCTCCCCATGGGCACATGACCGCACCCCCAGCTCTCTCGGAGCAGGCAGGGTGACCTTCACCCCATGCAGGAGGGCCCAGGTCCCGAGGGGGGACGCGGAGCACGCCTGGTTTGGGTTTGTGGTGGTGACTACCTGCTGGTGTCCGGCTTTGACAGGTAAGGAGGGGGACACGTACCAGGGCAGGGGAACCTGAGGACACTGCTCGCTCTCACTGTCACCTCCCACAGCCGCAGCGAGAGGAGGATCCTCCTGTACCGGGCACAGGCCCTGCCTGAAGGACCCTTGGCTGTGCTTGGTCTGGACGTGGCCCCTTCCACCCTCCTGCCCTTTTACGATGAGGATACCAGCGTAGTCTTCCTCACCGGCAAGGTGAGGGCTTGCCCTCCAAAAAAACTGTGGGGCTCCCTGCCTGCAGCACCCCACAGTGTGGAGGGACCCTCCGTGTCCCCCTGACAGCCCCTGACTGGCTCCATCCCCAGGGTGACACCAGAGTCTTCCTCTATGAAGTGACCCCCGAGCCCCCCTATTTCCTGGAGTGCAACAGCTTCACCTCCAATGAACCCCACAAGGTAAAGGGGGGATTTGCTGCCTGTCCCTGTCCCCGTGCCTGTGCTGCCAGACCCCACTCACACCCCCACCCCACCAGGGCTTCGTCTTCCTGCCCAAAACGGCGTGCGATGTGCGGGAGGTGGAGTTTGCCCGGGCGCTGCGCCTGGGGCAGAGCACCCTGGAGCCCGTGGCTTTCCACGTGCCACGCGTCAAGGTGGGCGCCGGGGGGGCCGGCTGTGTTTTGGGACGGGACAGGAGGCAGGGCACCCCCTGAGCGCCCCTTGCCCCGCAGAAGGAGTACTTCCAGGACGATGTGTACCCGCCGACCCGCGTGCGGTGGGAGCCGGCCCTGGGCGCGGGGGCCTGGCTGGACGGGCAGGACGGGCAGCAGCGCCGCACCAGCCTGCGCCCCGCAGACATGGTGCCAGGTGGGTGCAGGGGCTGGGCAGGACCCCCGGCCCCCTCAGGGGGATTTAGTCAGTGGGGTAGAGCCTCCTGCCCTGTGGTGACACCGCTCTCACAGTGAGTGAGGCCCCCAAAGAGGCTCCGGCTCGGAAGTTCGTCCCTGCGTCCGTGTACCTGGAGGAGAAGACAGATGAGCAGAAGAAGGAGGAGGTGGGTGCTGGGGTGAGGGCCCTGCGCCAGGGCCGGGCGTGACGCCCCGCGCCCCACGGCCCTGCCCGGCCTCTCCCCACAGCTCCTCAGTGCCATGGTGGCCCGGCTGGGCAACAGGGACGACCCGCTGCCGCAGGACTCCTTCGAGGGCGTGGACGAGGACGAGTGGGTGAGTGCGGAGGGGACACACGGCCCCGGCCCGGCCGCACCGGCCCCGCCGCGCCCCTCACCCCGGCCTCCCGCAGGACTAGGCTGGAGCCGGCACCCCCGAGCAGCCCGCAGCCCCGGGCCCGAGACCGGGAGGAGGAGGAAGAGGAGGAGGAAGAGATGGAGGAGGCGCAGGGCCCGCCGCGGGCAGGACCCGCTATTAAAGCCGCTGCACCAGCACCGTGTCCTGCCGTGATGCTGGGACACCGGGGGGGACACGGGGACCGGGAATGGGGGAGACACGGGGAACGAGGGGGCGTGGGGACCGGGAGCGACACAGGGACCGGCTGCGGGGGGTACGGGCATCGGCGTGACACAGGCACCGACACCGGGGGACACGGTAACCGAGCGGGACATGGGGACCGGGCAGGGGGTACACAAGGACCGGCCCCGGGTGGACACAGGGACGGACACCGGGGACACGGAAATCGGGGATAACACAGGGACCGAGGGAGACCCAGGGACCGCGGCAGGGGGGAACACGGGAACCGGGGCAACCCCGGGACCGGGATCACAGGGACCGGGGACACACCGGGGCCGGGGCGGTCGCGCCCCACCCGGCGGCGGGCCTCCCGCGCGGGGACACCGCCAGAGGGCGCTGTGGCTGCGGAGGGGACGCTCCGCCCGCGCCGTCCCCGTCTCGGTGTCCGCCGTGACCCTCAGCCCCGGCCACGTGACGGCCGTGGCGGAAGCGGCGGCGGGGACATGGTGAGAGGGGACGGGGACGCGGCGGGGGCACGGCGGGAGCGGCGAGCAGGGCTGGGGCCGGACAGCGCCCGGGCACGGGCCGCGGGCTCGGGAATGCGCGAAGCAGCTGCTGCCGGGAGGGGCAGGGCCAGTGGAGAGGGGACAGGGAGAGGGGAAGGGGTCACAGGAGCAGGGAAGGGGGCAGAAGTCGAGGGGAGGGGGGACAGGGACAGAGGAGGGAGGACAGGGCCACTGGAGAGGGGAGCAGGGACAGCGGAGCGGGTCACAGGACCAGCGGAGAGGAGACAGGGCGTGGGGCCGGGGGACAGAGACAGGGAGAGGGGAGAGGGCCTGGGGAGGGGACGGGGTCTGGGAAAGGTGTCACAGGGCCTGGGGGGACAGGGACAGAGAACGGGGGACAGAGCCTGGTACGGCCATGACAGGAGCCAGGTGGGGTCAGAGCAGACCCCGGGGGATGGGCAGGGGTGCCAGGGCCCGTGGGGCTGTGCGGGGCCCACGGGGAGGTGCCAGGGCGGTGTGTGACAGCAGGGTGTCCCCGCAGGCCAAGTACCTGGCACAGATCATTCTGGTGGGGGCCCAGGTGGTGGGACGGGCCTTCATGCGGGCGCTGCGCCAGGAGTTTGCAGGTAGGAGCTGGCATGCTGCTCCATGGGCTCTGTGTGCCCATGCTGCCCTGCTGGGTGGGCACTGCTCCTCATCCCCACCCTTCCCTGGGCACCTCAGTGCCCCCCTCCCCGGGCCGTGCCTGCAGGGGACACTGCCAGGCTGTCACAGGGCTCCATCCTGGCCCTGGCACTGCTGCCAGGCTCCCAGAGACCCCGGCACCCCAGAGGGCACAGTGGGAGATCCCTGGGCTGTGACCCTGCCTTGCCCGTAGCAAACGGTGCCTGCCTGGTCCCTGCCACCTCCCTGGCACTGCGACAGCACCCAGATGTCCCCAGGGTGGCTGGATGGGGACGGGGGGGCGCGGGGGTCCGAGCAGCTGGAGGTGCTGGGGCTCTGTGCCGGGGGGTGGCAGGCTCAGCCCGGTGTCCCCAGCGAGCCAGGCCGCGGCCGACGCGCGGGGCCGCGCCGAGAGGCCGCAGTCCGCCGCCGCCTCCCGCATCATCGGCATCAGCCTGCAGGAAGCTCAGCAGATCCTCAACGTCTCCAGCCTCAACCCCGAGGAGATCCAGAAGGTGAGGCTGCCTTGGAGCCGGGGAGGGCCGGTGCTGGCAGGGCCTGGCCGCTCCAAGGGTGCTGCTGTGCCTGGGGGTGGCAGCTGGTCCCCTGTGCCATCTTGGGCCCAGTTAATCACAGTGTGAGGATGCCCTGCCCCAGCTGGAGCAGCCCTCCAGGCTTGGCCTCTGCATCTGCCCAGCGGGGCTGCTCAGGGGAGGGACGTGGGCTCTCTGGAGGTGCCCTGCTGGGAGCATGGGGACTCCCAAGGGGTGTCAGGCAGATGTCCCCAGGACAATCTTCAGCAATGCTCTGGGGAGTGGGAGGCTGCCAGGGTTTGGGAGTGGGGATGGCAAGGCTGGGGGTGCCCCTGACCCAGAGCTGCTCTCGGCAGAACTACGACCACTTGTTCAAGGTGAACGACAAATCAGTGGGAGGCTCCTTCTACCTGCAGTCCAAGGTGAGCGCCGGGAGGAGCAGGCAGGGGCTGCACCTTCCATTCCCTGCCTGGGCTTTGGGACAGGCAGAGCCTGGATATACCCGTGGATGAGGCAGGGAGGGGAGGGGGCACCCTGTCCCTGGGTGTCCCCCCAGCCCTGTGTGTCCCCCAGCCCCGGGTGTCCCCCCAGCCGTGGGTGTGCCCGTGTCTCTTTGTGTCCCCTTGTCCCTATGTGTTCCCCCATCCCTGGGTGTCCCCTGTCCCTGTGTGCCCCCCATCCCTGTGTGTTCCCTGTCCCTGGGTGTCCCCTGTCCCTGTGTGTCCCCCCATCCCTGGGTGTCCCCTGTCCCTGCGTGTCCCCCGTCCCTGCGTGTCCCCCAGCCCTGCGTGTCCCCTGTCCCTGGGTGTCCCCCAGCCCCAGGTGTCCCCCAGCCCCGGGTGTCCCCTGTCCCCAGGTGGTGCGAGCCAAGGAGCGGCTGGACGAGGAGCTGCGCATCCAGGCCAGGGGTGACACGGAGAAGGGGCGGAAAGCCGAGACGTGACTCCTGCCACCCCTGCCCCCGTGCCCCTCACCCTTAACTTATAGGTAGCCAATAAACACCGTGTCCTGCAGCGCCTGGCCTGGCTGCTCCTCACCCGGGGAGGGAGCGGGGCCTGCCTGCCCAGCGGGGTCGGCCCCTGCGAGGGGCTGCGTTTGCCCGGGGGAGAGGAGGAGGAGGCAGCTGGGGAAGAAGGGGTGTCCCCAGGGCATTGAGGCTGCCAGGGCTCAAATGGCACTGGGGGAGGCTGCAGGAGCTATTTTTGGTGGAGAGGTTGGATGCTGTTGGGTGGAGCACACGGCTGCCTCTGACTCCATACCCTGGGGGTGCTGTGCCATTACCTTCTCCCAGCGTGGATGGCTGCTGGCTTGGGGTGAAGGGCTGTGAGGGGTCACCCTGTGGCTGTCCCCACCTGCAGCTCATGCCCCAGATGTTGGCAGGGTTTCACTGATGCTGAGGAGCATGGCTGGGGGTAAGGCAGGGCCAGCCATGCCCCAAGGTCACACCAGTCCCCCCCCACACCCCTCTGTCCCCAGCGCGGGCTCCTTGCCGTTGGCACCACGACCACGGACTGAAACAGGAACTTACTTCAACTTCACTTTATTGTTTTCTTAATAAACTTCCTCTCCCCTGGACGAATATAGTGTTACAGTCGTTAGCTTATCTCGTACTTGTGCAGTCCTTACACGCTATGCTAACAGCGATGGAGCCCAACAGGAGGAAAATAAAAACAACCCAGAAACTACGATAGAAAGGCACTTCGAGACCGTTAAAATACTGATGTCCTGGAATGTGCAACAACAAACCGATGAGGAGCGAGGAGACGTTTCACCGGCCGGGGCGGCCTGGTCGAGGGCCCGCAGCCATGCTGGGCTAGGGCAGCGCCGGGCGGCCGCCGGTGAGGGCAGGGAGACCGGCTCCCTGCGGGGCACGCGGGGCTCTTCGGCACGGCAAGGGACTGGGGAGACCCCTTGGCTCGGAGCGAGCGGGACCCCGGGGGGCTCCGGGCTGCACCCGCGCCGAAGCTGGGCACGCTGCCACGGCCGGGCCCACCCGGGAGCATCCCAGCGCCGCATCCCGAGGAGCGGGTGCCCGGCAGCCGCTGCCGCCGTGCCCGCGCTGCCCGCATGCTCGCGGTGCGTGGTTAGGTATGAGCGTAGCTAGAGGGGCAGTGCCCCGGCGAGCGGCACACGCGGCCGTGTGCCTTGTCACGGGAGGGCCGGGAGGCGGCGGAGCGGGGCGGCCGTGGGCACGGAGCGGGGAGGAGGCCGGCGGGTGCCCAGCCAGCTGGGCCCGGCACGGGCGGCCGTGGCTGCGGCACTGCCCATGCGGGGTGGGATGGCACGGCACGGCCGGGCACAGCTCGGGGCTGCCGGTCGCCCGGCTGCGGCCCCGCTGTCCGTGCGGCAGGAGCCTGGGGCTGCAGCCCCCACAGCAGCACCGAGGCGTCGGGCAGGGAGACGCCGAGTCAGCGGAAGCAGGAGAGCCCAAGCGGGACCCTGTCAGAGCAGGGGGCTGGTCGAGAAATAAATAGCGGCGTATCCGGCTGCCCAGGGCCGGGGGACCCCCCTGTGCCCCACCTGCCCCCAGCACGGGGTCGCAGCCGGCTCCGGCCGCCGAGGGATTATTGCTTTTCTCAGAAGAGTCCGTTCTTCTTTCGTGACGGGTAAAAGCACGAGCGAGGCCCCGCCGGGGCTGCAGGGCGAGGAGGGGGCCATGCCCCCCGTCCCCAGACGGGAGCGAGATCTGCCCACGGGGCCGGCGGCTGACCCCGGGCATCGTCGGGCCCCTCAGTTGACGGCGGCGGGCTTGAGCAGCAGGGAGCCGGGGGGGATGAGCACCCAGCCGGGAGGCAGCGCCTCGGGGCTGCCCCCCGAGCTGACGCCGGCCGAGAGGTCGAGCACGGCCCCCGGCAGCAGCGCCAGGCTCTCGGGGGGCACCCGCGGCCGCCCCGGCTCCGTCCTTTCGCCCCTCTCCTTCCGGCTCTCCAGCCCCTTGCCCGCCTTGGGCGGCCGGCCCTCGGCCCCGCTGCCCTTCTCCCCCTCGGCCTTGGCCCCGCCGGCCAGCAGCGACATGACGGGCAGCCCCAGCCCCGCCGCGAAGGGCGAGGGCAGCAGCGGGCTCTTGGCCAAGTTCAAGGGGCCGCCGTTGAGGGGCAGGACGGGGCCGGGCAGGGCGGGCAGCGCGCCCGCAGCCCCGCAGCCCAGCGCGCTGAGGTCGAGCGGGGCCGGTGCCAGAGGGATGGGCAGCGCCGGCAGCCCCGGCGGAGCGAACAGCGCGGCGGGGTTGGGGATGACGAGCTGCGCCCCGTTAACGTAGGGCACCTCCGCCGAGCCCAGGGGCGTTTTGGGAGGCGGGTGGACCTTGAGCATCTCCGGGTGCTCGGGGGACACAAAATGGCCGTGGGCTTTGATGTGCTTGCGGAGGGAGCTGGGGTCGGTGTAGCGCTTGTGGCAGCCCGGCATCTTGCAGGAGTAGGGCTTCTCCACGTAGTGCGTGCGGGTGTGCTTGAAGCGGTCGCTGGAGTTGGAGTAACGCTTGTTGCAGCCTTCGTAGGGGCAGATGTAGGGCTTCTCACCTGCGGGACAGCAGCGGGTCTGCCGGGGGCACCAGCCCTGCCGTGCCCCCCGCGCCCCCCGAGCCCCCCTGCCCCAGCGAGCGCGGGGCGGGGCTGCGCTGACCTGTGTGCGAGCGGTTGTGGATTTTCAGGTTCTCCAGGCGGGAGAAGCTCTTGTTGCAGGTGGGGCAGCGATGCGGCTTCTCGTTGGTGTGCGTCCGGATGTGGATCAGCATCTTGTACCTGCCGGGATCGGGGCAGTCACAGAATCGTGGAATGCGTTGGGAAGACCTTAAAGCTTGTATAATTCAAACCCCCCGCCATGGGCAGGGACACTTTCCACTATCCCAGGCCCTGTCCAGCCTGGCTTTGGACACTTCCAGGGATCCAGGGGCAGCCACAGCTGCTCTGGGCACCCTGTGCCAGGGCCTGCCCACCCTCATAGGGAACAATTTCCTCCCAATATCCCATCTAAATCTCTCCTCTTTTAGTTTAAAACTGCTCGCCCTTATCCTATCACCATCTGCCCGTGGAAGCATCGGGGAGGGAATGCTAGGGAGGGAGTCAGCCCTGCCTTCCAGGGTAAGTCCTTGTCCCCGTGCCCTGGCTGTGAGGGGAGAACAGGGACATCCCGGCCAGCACAGTCACCCAGAGCCCTGCCTTCCAGGGTAAGTCCTTGTCCCCGTGCCCTGGCCAGCACAGTCACCCAACCCCCAGCACCTTGCACCCTGCAGGAAAGGGAGGGAGGGACAGATGGAAACTTCCCCTGCATATCCCCAGTGCTGGGCTCCTGCCTCCCCACAGCAGCCCCCCAGAGATCCCCTGGAGCCCCCCGTGCCCACCTGGCATTGAAGCCCCTGCCATGGCGGGCACAGCCCTCCCAGTGGCAGCAGTACCCCGCGTCCTTCTCGGGTTTGACGTGGAAGTCGTTGACGTGGTCCACCAGGTCTTGCAGGAGGTCAAAGAACTGGTTGCACTGTGGGCAGGAGGCTGGGGGTGAGGGAGCCCAGCAGGGTGGGCACCAGGGGGGACAGTGCCCCCATCATGGCCAGCACCTGCCCCCCAGCCCATCCCAGCTCCCACCTGCACCCTGTGTGCAGCAGCAGCAGCATTTGGGGAAATGGAAATGGCCCTTTGCATGACCCCCCAGCCCGTATCACCCCCCAGCATCTCTGCACAGCCCCCATCTCCCCATCACCGCCTTTCCAGCCCTACTGTCCCTGCTTGTCCTCCCAGCCCCAAAACTTGCCCACAGCCCCAAAAAGCTCTGCCAGGGCCTTCCAGCCCCAGGTCCTCTCCCCAGCCCCAAAATTCCCCTGTGTGCCCCCCATCCTTGCAATGCCCATGTGGTCTCCCAGCCCCTCATCACCACCTCCACCCCCTCAAAGCTCCCCCACACCCCCACCATAACCCCCAGGGCCCCCAGCCCTCCCTGCTGACCTTGGACCAGCGGCACACGAGCTGCTTGGGCAGGGGCAGCTCGGGGGGGAGCCGTTTCTCCTTGCTGGGGGGCAGGAAGGCGGCGGGGGGCAGGTGCAGGGCCCCCCCGGCCCCCAGCGGCAGGAAGAACTGGAAGGAGCTGGGGAGGCCGTCGATGTAGCGCAGGGACTGGAAATCCTGGAGCAGAGTCCAGAGGGAGGAGCAGTGGGGGACAGGGCCGGGCTGGATGGACACCCCCAGAGACGCCCCCCGAGCCCTTCAAGAGATTCCTCCCAGCCCCCCAGGAAGCCCAGAACCTCGCAGAGATCCCCCCAGAGATCCCCCCACACTCCCCAGAAAACCCTCAGATGTGCCACCCCCCCGCCCCAGGGACCCCAAAACCCCACGGAGACCCCCAGAGAGCCCTCCCAGGAGCCGCCCCGGGGATGCCTCTGGGGTCAGGGGCCGGGGGGGCCAGGCAGGACATTGGCCCCGGGCTGTGTGTACAGCGGCAGCACCGGGCACGCTGCCGAGGTCGGGAGCGCCACCCGGGCACAGTCCCCACAGCTGGGGACACCTCGGGGGGGCCACGGCCGTACTTACGTGTGGGGTGAGGGGGCCGGGCAGGTCCCCGCTGCCCTGGCGCTCAGGGGACAGCGAGGCACTGCCAGCCGGAGACTCGGCCCCCGAGCGGGGCGAGAGGCTGAGGTCCACCACCGGCACGGCGGCCGGGAAGCGTCCATCCCGCGGCTCCCCCAGCCTGGAGTGTCCCAGGAGCCCGGGCGAGGCTGGCACGGCCCGGCGACCCCCCCGGCTGCCCCCCCGGCCATCCCCGGCCGGCGGGGTGTCCGGGCGCTGGGCAGCGCGGGCTCGGGGGCCGGAGGGGCCCCGCTTCTCGCGGGCAGCTCGCAGCTTGGAGATGCTCAGCTTGAGGTCCAGGGGCTCCTCCAGGGAATGCATGGTGCCGGGGTGGGCTCTGCGGGGGACACCCAGGGGTCACTGCAGGGCCGGCGGGCACCAGTGCCACCCAGAGCATCGCCCCAGCCCGGCCCCATGGCAATGCCCGCTCTGCTCCGGGCCGCAGGACACGGGGCTGG